AACAATACCGGCAGCGTATACGAGACTCCGGATCCACCTGAAAGCGGGACATGCATGAGCAATGTTCGACATGTAGAAAGTTCAGTGACTAACCAGCAATGAGCACAGATGTGTCATATGAACCCAGGTTAGGAGATGGCCCATATGGCCCATCGACAAAGACTTTTACTTTGTCACCCTTCAAGGCAGCATCTTTCAAGCGGGCAGTGAATCCTTCCCTTACGTTTATGAAAAATACGAGCTCTTTCCAGAACGGAGCACTAGAACCAAGATTCCCTTCTGCAAGGCTAATCTCAGCACATTTTTCGCTTGTTGGTTTCTGTTCCTTAGGCACATCAAAAAGGGTCGAATTAAAACTCGCAATGGTGAAAGGGTGGGCCTCGAATGGCAAGCGTGAGACGGACGGCATGATAAGATAGGCAGTTTGCCCGGGCGTCCAGTGGAAATGAGACGGGCGGTGGAAACGTAACCGAACAAAATCATCTGATAGGAGTTCAGCGGTCGCGTCCATTGTAGACCCTGACCTGAATCCGAAATATGAGTGGTTGAATACTACTAGACGAAGGGTCCGAATGAGCCGGTCCAATCCCCAGATTACGAAACAGGGGTAGATCCAGAAGGCGACGCTGGTGATTATCAGTGTGGGACATGTAAGTTATGTATTTGATGAAACTCACTCAGAATCTTGTGTATGGATGTAGGCGCCGATGAGGAAAATGCTGAAAAAGTTTGTGAGTGTCACAAAGAAATAGAACTGGAATGGGCTCACGAAACCATGGCGAAATGAACGTAGAAGAAAAGCTCGTATGCTTGGGCTCGGATGGGGCGCAAGGAGACGATACATAGAATGGTAGATGCGACCATGGAAACCAAGCCCCACAAGAGCCACGGCTGCGTAAAGTATGGTTGGAATCTGTGTCGTGTTAGTGCATTGAATCCTTTATACATGTTGCACGTACGGTGCATGTCGGACAACCTCACCGCCTACATGAACCCAGAGCAAGACGAAGGCGACTCTAGACATCATGCGATGAACGTAGTTGAGCTTGAAGGAAAATCACGTTGAAATAAAGCGATGGCGAATATCGTGAATAGATTTACCTTGTCATAGCTGATACCGGTGATTACTGTAGGCAGTCAGCAAAGCAGGTTAATATGCAAGCACAGAAGCCGTACAGGATACTATGTTGTTTTTAGTTCCAAGTGCAGTGATCAGCGGGAACTGGCTCGATGCCAGCATGCCTGAGCGGTTGCACCAGTATGAAATGTCCAATTTGTGGCCCTCGAGGTCGGTTGCTAGAAGCTCTCTCAGAATGTGCGAGTGACATCGCCAGGGAACTCACTGTTGATAAATGTCCATACAAAAAGAAAAACAATGTATGCCACAGTCACAAACACCTCAGCCATGTTGAGGGTGTAAGACTTTCCAAATTCGAGTGTACAACGGAAGGAAATGACACGGTACGCATTGACGAGTCCCAATGGAATGCGACGCCAAGAAAAAGCGTGACGACGATGCACAGAAGCATGTTCTGGGTCGGAGGCGTTGGCCATTGGACGCCTCCCGGCGAACTTGGAGTGAAAGAAAGAGATCCATTGGAAGATTGCAATGATAAAAATGAAGAGTCCAATACAATACCACGCTTGTTGCGGGTATAGCTGGTTTCGGGCAGATCGTAGAGACTTGTCGGTGACAGCCATGAATGAAAAAGGGAGGCCAAGTAAACAAACTCACACCAAGGAGTTATCAGACCCTCGAAGCATGGCCCCCTTTATAGTCGACCTCCACATATAAGTTGTATGTATACAGAAGTGCCTGGAAAAAATAAGAATTATCAGATAACCGCCCAGATGAAAGAAATATGGAAAGAAATCGAACCCACGTTTAGATGTAAGATTATGTAATCAAGTTCTTGGCTTTAATTGGCACTCCGCGAAACTTTTACGACCGTCCACCTGCCTAATAAAGCTTTAAAGCACCAGCCCCGTTGAAACCCTTCAGCATCCATTGACACTCATAAACGGCGATCTGCTCGTTATTCTGCACACTTACCCAGCCACTGACCTTCACAATGCATCTTGTTGTTGGTACACTATTTCGCGCACAAGGATGCTGAGCATAAATTATTGATCCGTCACCGTGAACCTTATATCCATTTTACAGAGCCAACCCGTGTGCATCAAAGATATCTTATTATTGGATATACAGAACAAATCTCGGATTCACACGCGTCCACATGCTCATGACTCCGAGTCAGCGCTCTCAGAAGACTTGGTCACTTGTTGTCCGCATTTCTTGGCAAGTCTTTTAAGGATCGATCGATATTACCTGCAGTGGTCCGAAGCTCATCGGCTGTAATCGGGCGGCTTTAAAGGCTGATTCGGAGTTATACTTCAATGGACGTTCCCCCTCAATCTTCCCGGTGCCAGATCTCTGGGTGAGTCGTGTCTACACACATGCCATATCAGTGCCTCGCCAAGTTAACTCGTGTGTCGATTGAACCCTTTTCTAAATTGCTCCATCGTCGCTGTAGGTAACTGTTTCTCATAGAATTCGATAGATCAAAAAAATGTACGAAACTAATCACCCCTGTTCGAGCCTGTCTAAATCGTCTTCTTATCTGATAACGTCTGATAAGGTCATACATGACAGGAAGGCCGGTTTTATACATTGTAACTAACGTATATATTTCACCTGCATAATTATACCATAATAATAAGATTAACACTTTCGGCACCGGCGCTTGCCACATTGCAAATAGAAGCAACTGGCTGCCTTAAGTCGTTCGGGCGATTGTTTGCTCTGAAACAGGCAAGATTCACATCTGTAGGATCCCACAGTGATACGTGTCCACCTCATAATGACAGATGTCGAGCACTGGCCGGGCTGCTCGGGCAGAGACTTGACAATACATCTTGTCTCGTGCGCTGGACGTCTTCAAGCATCCAGTGGAAAGATCTGTCGTGGAGGTAACTAGCCATGACGACACGAGACTCATGGTGCAGGCCATTCTGAAGACCAGGGAAAATGGGTATCTTTTCGAACAATGTGCTAATTATTGATTGGTCTATCAAAACCAAGTCAAGAATTCTCGGACCATGGCCCGATTGACATGTTGGTTTCTCTCAGAGCCATTGTTTGATGCGTCATTTCATCACAATCTCAGGTACATAGCTTCCACGGCAGAACGAACTCAAGGCGTATCATCAACACTGATTCATCAACATTGTAGCCTGTGAGCACACCGGAATGATGCGACATTTCAGCTCCCTAATACACAGAAGGCAAATGCGGCGAATCGCAATTTGTGCATTAAGCGACGCTTTCTTTCGTCATTTAACGACCCTTGGTGTCAAAGAAATGTTAAAGAAATGTTAATAGCACCAGGCACTGTCAAGCCAAAATCTTTATCAGCACTAATCGGTCAAAGTCCTGCATGTTTACTGACATGTCCGTCCGTCGTAAAATCGCATTCGCGGCGAGCTCGTTTCTGCTGCCTTGGTATCACTGAGGGTGGGATTGTCCGATAGGCGTCAAGTTTAGGACCGGGATCATCGGTGTGATCATCCACAGCGTACACGTTCAACCAATTGGTGAAAGGCGCTACCTGAGGCATACCGTTAATTGTCCGAACCGCAAACATGGACTCTGACAGCTCGATAGGCCCCCTGCGTGCCTTCTTTAGCTTTTAAGAACGGATCCTTGGGCTTCTGATGAAAATGTCTCAATGTAGCAGCTCAAGCGCGCATAAAACTCAGACAATGACAGTCGATGCATCAGGTACCTGATTTTGTGTCAAGTCCAGTAACGGGATTCTGGAAGGAATATGTCGGTGAGAGGAAATAAAAATACGAGAGGAAATGACGAACAAATAATTGAAGTAAAAGGAAAGACATGCAGACTCGGATTTGAAATACTTATCTTGGCTCGTCTTTAAGTTATTGTACCTGAGAGGCAACTCTATCATCACGATGCCTCCGCTTTCGATTGTCTGCACGACTCTTCGTGCAGTAGTCACAGCATATCCAGGATGTGAACACAGATTCTGGAGTCAAATCTTTGTTTGCGGTTCGTTTGAACGTGATCACGGTGTATCCTGTTGCCATGAGATTAGCACCGGCTTAGGAGTAAGTAGACGGAGTGTTACAGACGTGAGACGATCCTTGGCGAGCGGGCCCTGCATTCTAGATCATGATATAGAGTTATAACTCTGAATGGATAGAAATTGGAAAAGCGCGCCCCGCTGCCCCAGGAATGAGTTGTTTGCCTTTGTTGTTCAACTTTCTTATTTGATTAGATGCGGGCATTAATCAAGTTCGCGCTGCTGCATGAACCAGAATGATCACAAGCACCGAACAGTGTCAGAGTCAGAGTCAGTGACTGAGCACTGAGCACTGACTACTGAGTAACCCCGGCGCGTCGAACGCCATATAGAACATGGCCTACCAAATATGGACCTCTAAATGGACGGGCCCCTTGCCAGAACCCTGAGGCACAAATCAGACTGCGGGTCAATCAAGACACCGCTGATGAACCAAGAGGAAAATATATATTATGGTGTGCTCTGACAGACTGACGCGCTCCCAACAAGATCAATCACCAGGGCCTTCTGAGGACCCTTGATAATCTCAGAATCAGCTTAGTGATCTTGACAGTAAAACTTATTAGTTACCTGACAACCCTGGAATATAAAGTTGACATATCTTACGAGCTAGTAAGCCTTCCAAAAGGATAACCAGGCCTAACGGGTCAGAAATTCCCATGGCATGCCGCGCACCACATACACCGTAGGAGCATAAAATTTCTTCGGATAGATGTCTCAGAGGCTATTTAATTAGCACTTGAGCTTGAGGTACAATTTAGGTATGTTTCGACGTTTCGATCGAAAACAGAATAAGCGCCAAAAATGACCACCGCAGGGGTCGAACCTGCAATCTCCTGATCGCCGTGTCATCGTAGTCAGACGCGATGCCATTTCGCCAGGCGGCCATGTATGGATGGATAGACCTCTAGATCTTTGGGGAAAATGTCCAGTGGAATACATGAGTACATAAGATAGTGGTAGTATCTAAAACATCATGGATGAAGGATAGAGGCCGTTACTGGCCTGGTATACTGTTATTACAGGGGTATGGGTATAGGATTGTTTAGCATAAAGTTATCCCACATAAACCATCGAGGTATAAAGGATGAAAAAGACTACACCTTGTAAAATGTCTTTATATCAGAAAGAGGATTCAGTCTTAGCACCAGTCTGTTGCGGCTCTCCACTCGGGAGCCTCTCTAATCCAACATAAGCATACACTTGCTCGCGCGCCGCAGGTATTGAAGCCCTCAGACGGCGCTGGACATCCCCGAAACGTCCAGCTGCCTTTCTGAGTTCAAGCCTGTCCCAAGCACGAACAGCCTGCCTAAGCGAGCCACGGCGGCGTGGCAGCATCCAAGACCTTGCGCGCAAGGAAGTAAACCCTAAGCAAGGGTAGCGCTAGGGCTCAGTGACAGTATTTGAAGTACGAGCAATGGTACTGACCTGATGCCGTGACAGTTCCTTGGCTGACGGGCTGAGACTTTGGGGATTTGGCGCGCTTGACGAACCCCTTCAGGGACCCGTAAAACCAGAATGCGTGAAGAGGGAATATGCAAGCCATGATCAGGCCTGGGCCATACGAATCATTCGTGACATGATGCCGGCTGGCGATCATCGATACACATAGAAATACATGCAGAACAATACGAGTCGCAAGAAACGACATTGCAAAAACCACGTCCGAGCGGAAGCGAGGGTTGAGACTCGCAATGGCGAGAAGGAAGGTGGGTATCTGTATTAAGTTAGCGCTCTTGTGAGCCATAAGAATTGGAGTTTCACCTCCATCACACCACACAGTGCAAACAGATGACTCCAGCTCTGACGACAGGCATACTCGACGATGAAAATGTATATCGTGTGGTGAATCCAGCCTGTTAGCAAGTTAACCTTGCTACGGTAGTAAATCACACCCATCAATAGGTCTCTATAAATACATCATATGAGCGCACGTTTCAAAAGCGGAAACTCGGACCTACGTGACAAGATAAGCTTGAAAGAATCGACCGGTGCTCTCCGTCCAGAGTGTTGACCTTATCCCTCTTAAATCTCCACGAGAACTGGCGTAGAGAAAGAAAAGAGGTAAACTTGACAGAGACATCGCAGCGCTACTGATTGTGGTCAATATCCATGATTGTTGTTTCACGGTGGAACATAAAGGTGCAAAAATGTGATAAGCGACTGTTAGCGCCAGAAGTGAGTACAAAAACGCAGGGGGTATCGCATCCTCGATGGACACGTCGAACATGGCACGGACGTGAAGGGGCGAGAGAAGGAACCAACGTCCCGCTCATCGAGTTGTAATTTTAAAGAGCCTAATAATGGCAGTTTATGGCACGTTTACCGATATGGTGCCAAGCCTTGGCAAAAACTTCGCAGCCTGAAAAAGCCATTTTCGTCAACACAAAATGCAGTCATTCGCTGTCACACGGACACACTCGGCGGGACTGCATCACCCTAGAGTCTGCCACACCAACGTGAAGGGACACAGTGCCATGTACAGCTTTCTGACAGCGACAGTACTACTAGTAATAAGACTTAAGAGCGCCTGCTACTGAGTTTTGACTGTGCACGTTGTTCGTGTTAAACGAACGTGCCACGTCCTACATGTGAAAATTTGGTCATAAGTGATTCACCAGTAAATATACTATTGGTTACGCGTTATCCACTTTATCGCGGTCTTCTCTGCAACATTCAATTTTACAGTAATTGTTTATGTGTTTGAATTGCAAAGTTCGAGTCCAGCTGGGGACCCTAACCCTACGCATCACCAGGCGCTTCAAACGTCAACTTCATTTGTCTCTTTCCATCAAAGTTTCACCAAGAACTTTACCGTCGCCTATCCTTTTATTGTGGCGACAGATACTCAGGAACTGGAATAGTTCAAGGCTACGATGTCTGCGGGAATGGGAGAAACTTTGCGAACACGAGCAATAACATCCACATTGACCGCACGCTTGTCCCCGACTGTGCCATCTGCTTCTCAAACTTATGAACCCCTTGTTAGGTCCGCCCTTCGACAGCGACTCACTCACAATATATTCGTGTTCTCTGTTGCATTTACCTTAGTTGTCAGCATTCTTTTGGGGGGAGAGGATGAGACGAGTGTTTTCGCCAGGTTGCTTTCACCTGGAACTTGGACGATAGCGTGCCTTAAGTGGTTCGTTGGCGTGTTGCCTGTGATTGCTATGAGAAAGGTTTACCTTACCTGTGAGTTACTTCACCTCTTGTGCATGCTGTCTTATATCTGTTGCATAGCTGCCGCCACACCTGCAACTTCACCGGCCAAAATGCTCACGAATGCTATTGCAAAACCAAGCACACGACGGTGCTTGGCAGTGTACATGTCATGTACATTGATGCTCTTTGCGCTCTATATGAGCTCATTTACATCGGAAGAACGCGAAACCCTTCATTTGAATGTCTTCGTAAAGTCAAGGTATGTGATTTAGCAATCTTACTGGATGTGCCCGGAAGAGAGTTGCGTGTGCACGATCTCGTCCCGAGTATTTTTAAATTTTGGAGGCTGAGATTTTACCAGGAAACATCCGTATTACCTCAATGGTCGACTGCTCTTCCTCATCCTGGCCCAGCTGTGGTTAGCCGCTAGTTTCTTGCTTCGAAACATCATGTTAGACCGTTTTGTGTTCAAGTGGACGAAACCTTTGAATTCGTCGGAACTTGTCAGTGTTTTCCTTCCTTCTTGGACCATGTTTGACGATCCACCCGTAGCCATATGCCACAAGCAATCTTCTGAAACTGGTCTTAACAATGGCTCTCTTCACCTCGTTTTCATTGACCATGTATAGCGTCGCTTTTGGTCTATCGCGGATGCTTGTTCTTCCGCTGCTCTTAAAGCTTCCAGCGGTAAGCAAGATTATCCGACCGTTTGTTGCACATTATACAAAGGGTACATGGACTCTAACTCTACCTATGTTACACTGGTCGCTTTTGGTTCGCTCATTTATGATGGGCCTTGTGACTCTGATGAGTTGGGAGTTCGCGGAGTCGCTATTTGACGCATATGTTCCCCAGGTAGTTATCCTTTGCAACGACAAATCTGCATTCTAAGGTCTTTTTCAGCCGATCAAAGTTGGCGCCCTTACTGCAGATCCCAATGTGACAGTTGTCTCGGGGATTACGACTCAAGACGCGGTGTTCGCACATTTCGCATACTCTGAGTTAGCAGAGCTGGCTTCGGACGAATCCTCGGCAGGGAACGCACGTAGAATAGCCCTATTTGGTGACCAAAAATATAGCCCGAGCTTGTGGAATGTCGTGGCCCGCCAATCGCTCCTCCGTCTTGGAGAGGATTATCAAACATTCCTGCGACGCGGCGCACCGATCACTCCCCCTGTTGTTGTAGCGCCGACAATCCCCAAACCCAAGGATCCGCCATCGACCCCTCTGATTCGAAAGGCTATTTTCAGGGCTCCACGACAGTCTCCTCTTAGCAGTATGCTGGATTCGGTTTCGTCAGATTCGGAGCTTTCGAAGGCTGCTGCGGCAGTGGCAGGCGAAATGGAGGAACGGGCCAGTCAAATGCACATTCCAGAGCTATTCCGGTCTGTGGCGCCGTCATCTGCGGCTGCCCCATCAACCAATGCTGTTGTGGCTAAACCTACATCGAGTATTGTATCCAGCTTCATTGCACAGGTGGAATCGCACAGTAGGGGTCTCGTTGTGGACTATTGTCCAATTTGGTTGAAGGAGTCGGCGATGAGATGGAATAAATGGTTTTATCGAGAGCGCTTGAATAAGGCCGTTGAAGTGTGCTTGCCGAACAGGGAGCTTGATGCACTCATCATTGAAGGTGCGGCCGACTTCCATACTTTATATGCAGCTATTGAACTCGGCAACAGCGCTATCGCACTTCGTCTGTACTTCCCTGAGCGAAGATCGGTATGGTGTGGTTCAAAGGGACATACCACGCATCATCGAAGCTTTCCTCTCGTTTTTATCTGCAATCGAAGAGTATCAGAACGAGGTGAACGCGAAATACACACCACCGACGCCTGATGAACTCTCTCAAGGCGACACAAAAATATTGGAAGAAAAGGAGATGATGCGTTTAGAAGTTGCCAGAGCCGGTGACGTACTAGTCGTTGTCTCAGATGGTTTGTGACTTCTTACCTCGCCCAGAAATTGGTTGATAATTCAAATTTCACAGCACTGAAAACTGGGGTGGCAAACATATCGCGGACGTTCGGCGATAAGCTCGTTGCTTTCAAGTTTCCCCCTCGGACTGCACGGAAGCTACAGTCATTTGTTGACTACACTTAGTGTTTCGGCGAGTTGGAGCCGTGGATGATGAATCCCCGTGTCCTATAAATCTCGGGCGCCCTGGGACTGCTCCCGTATTTGCATCTCGTGAGGTAATAATGGGCAGCGTGTTGACACTTCAGTAAGTGAGGGCAAACAGTCCCCACACTGTATCTATCCTTCGAGCTTCAGAACGTCAAACTATCTATCGCGATCAATAATTCTGTGCACCGCTTGCTTTACAGTTAAAAAAATACACTTTGCCAAATAAAACATGGAGAATTTAAGAAGTTATCGACGAGCCGCGGACAAGAACTCGAATGCCCAACATGCGTAACGGCAGGGGAGAACGTGCGTCGTGAACGTGTGCTTATCGCATTCATCGACGTATCTTTGAGCACGTTTTGGGTGAAGCTCTAACCCAGCATGACTTCTTGGCTGTTATCACCGAACAGCAGGCTGGATTGAGTGAATTAGTTCCGTTTGCACTGCAGTGAACGTTCCCGACGTGGTCACGTGACCCTCCTCGACGAGGGACAACTTGAAGTTGTTTGCATTTTTCATTACATGTCAGAATGGTATCTGTGGAACGAACACCATCAGCAGTAGCACTTAGCGGGCAAGTTGACAAGCACTAGGTGACTAGATCGTCCAACCACTCCAATCGAGGGTATGTACTGAGCCATTTCTTGATATCGAAGGCCCCCTGCATTGATCGTTTCGATCTTTCTCAATTCCCAACAGTCATACGTGTAATCTAAGCTTTAGAATGCACCGACACCCCGTGGATAATCTCGAGGACATCATCAACTGCAAGTAGTGGCTGACCACTCCTGCGTGAATGCTTCGCAGTCAGCCTCCACTGAATCAGTTGTTATATTTCATGGCTGCTCTTCAAGTTGATAACGTCCCACCAACTTCCTCTTTTCAGTGATTGCCATGCGTTTCACCAACAGATCTTCGTCTATGCCTGTCTCTTCCGTCCCTCTCGCCAAATCCCAGACTCCCATTCGGCGTGTAACTTCTCTCTTGCGTTCTCCGCTTCAAATCGGTATACATTCCCGTCCACGTTCACACTCTACGGACACTGTAAGGCCATCAATCAGTCGCCCCCTTTATTACACTCCTCCCCCCGCGGTCGCTCTTCAGACCGCGTCTCTATCCACCGACAGTATCATCATTACATCCTTCCAACGTGCACCGTTCTGCTGCCATGAGGACCTTGTTACCATGCCTCGCCCTGAACTTGTGCGGGTTGCTCAGAACATCAATTCACGTCTGCCAAAGGCACTGCAAATTGCATGTGGTGATGATGTGGAAGATGCAGATATTCGGAGAGCGATAGAAGTCCTAACTGGGATCCGCGCAGAGACAGCACGAGAATCAGTCCCACCCGTTCCAGGCGCACCTAGGGCGGTACGGATAAAGAGCATGAATGCGATATTAGATGAAGCACCCTGGGATGTGGATATTGACTCGAGTACAATGGACGAACGAGCTATGGTTACTCCTTCTAGCCCGCTTGCCATGCGTCGCCCGCGCTTGGAAATGCTCAGGGAGGAACAAGAACAGGAGGAACCTTTGAAAAAACGAAGGCGTGCTTCACCAGAGAACGCCAATACCCCACCTGGTCGTGTGCCTACTACGTCGGGCTCACGCCTCCTCGAGAGTCTTGACGTTTCAGCCTCTCCTCTGCTTGCGTCAGACAGCAGCGAGGTCGTTAGCTCCATGACCAGCACTCAAGGGAATGTACAGCGTCGACGCAGTGCTCGTCTCTCCAGAAACAACTCCCACCCGCGCGAAGTTGTAATTCGCCTCCCCTTTGCATCTTCACCCACAGCACAACCTACCCGCCTGCTCCGTTCGCACTCCCAAAGGACAAGCCTTACAACGCCTATGCAGGTCTCGAAGCTCAAGCGAGCTCAATCCGATGCCAATGTCACTCTTACACGCCCCAAGTACCATTTTCGACGCGGGCGCGCTACACCCAAAGTTGTCGATCCTGCCGAATTCGTGCTAGATGCTGAGAAGACAATGCAGGTGCTACCGATGATCCCCACAGGGTCTAGGCTCGCAGTCGATTTTCTCACTCCTAGGGCCCGTAGTGCGAGCGCATCAACTACGGCCTCGCAGAAGAAGAGTGAAATTGGGTCAAGGGTCGTGGAGGCGATGGGGGAGATGGTGGTATGAGTTGGAGCACGCCTGATGCATGGCGTTGTCCAGTTCCGGAAGCTGAGGAGTCTCGAGTCATGCGGTATATTCATTTGTACTAGGACTTATTGCGGAATGGATGCTATGTTACAACAAGTATTAAATACAACTTCGGACATAGTAGTCTGGTTAAGATGGTCGTTCCTCGTTTGACGAAGAAATCGACCTGATCTTGTGTATGTGATTCTGGTAACCTTGATACGCATTGCGGGCATCACGAAGCAATGACTTCAGGAGATCCTTCTCACCAACTTTAAACTCGGACAGATCGCTAGAGCTAAGATCAAACGACTTTTCTTCACCGTGTTTTTCTAGTTCTTCCACTACTTTGTCTCTCCATGTATTCCATACTCTTGTTTCGTTTGGAATGAAACATTGTAACACCTCTTTTGGCTTGAAGTCAGAATTCGGAGGCCTTCGGGTATTATCGCTGAGGACCAAACATGCAAAAACTGCCTGAGCAGCTCTGTTTTTTAGTGCAATTTTCAACATGGGTGGATGATGAAGCGCTTTCAACAGGATATCGGTTTGTATTTTCTCCGGCTCCAGTGACGACAGGAATGAGTTGTATGCCCACGAGGCTACAAGCGATACGATGAACATGATCTGACCGAACGTTGTTGCCTGAGGGATAAGAAGGAGCTGGAGAAGGAACTGTGCGAGGAGGAGAAGCGAACAGAGTCCGATTCGTCTGAACTCTGGGCCGCCAGGGATTTTCAGATCAAATTTCCCTTTGGTTATCGGATCGATGTCTTTCTCTGCACCTCTGAGGATGACTACATCGCTTCGCATGAGGAGTATGCCGTCTGCAGGCGGTACACCCGGAGCGGCTTCCTTAACGGAAGCAAATTCGACTTGAGCGGTGCCCATGACAAGGCAAGATACGCCACTTGAAATGATTCCTAACATGATGAGGGAAAATGCTAGCCAATCTCCTGAAGCAGCAGAAGTAATGCACGTCGCGAGACTGATGGTAATGGGAATAGCAGCCAAGAGAGCATGATGGATGCTCATCATAGGCGCCCGGTCCAAGTGCTTCACATCTGCGTCTCCGACATCGACGATGGTGACGGACAGAGGTGTAGTCTCCCTCCCTTCCACTTCCGCTTCTGGCTCAACTTCTTTCGACCTCTGTACCATGAGGTACGCCAGGTGACCAGTGATCATCTCTGTACCCGAGAAAACACCCCAATAACGAGGGCCAGGTTTTCCATCTAGCCCAAATACCTCAGCGGGTGTGAGATTTGGGCCAGGGAAAAGACCATCCCAGAATCTTGAGCTTGAGAGCTGCCCGAACTTTTTGGCGACGGTATAGCTTCCTGGTGAATTATACCAGCCTAGCCAGCGCCTCCCACGATAGAGATGCACAGTGGCCATCGCAGCGATAACTTCATCGCCACCGAGGAATCCAGCAACGTTAGATGTATTGAGATTGAAATGCGCCTGGTTAATTGGTACAATAAAGGTGGGTAGAATTGTGGCATTCATGGTGCTGCTGTGAAGCTATCTCCGCGAGCCGAACATTTGGCATTTACATAGCCTCTAGGCGCTAACTTCTTGGGAAATAATTTTACCCCATTGGAGATGTGTTGGACAACGACAACGACTCGGAGATACGCACTGCATTCTACATGCAATGATCCTCAACACAAGTCGCATGTACGAATTGGTAGGAATCATATGTCTCAAGCATCTTTTGTGCTATCGTCAGTCCTTCATTATCATCCTCTTTCGTATATTCTCATCTTTCACTTGTAACAGCACCTGGAGGCGTTCAAGTTTACTTTTGATATTTTGCATTGACTACTGCCCTTTGCTTATGCAAATCAAACACACTGTAGCACACACATTCTCCCTGGTAACGTTTGAAACAGGCGCTGGCTACCTCGGGCTGCTGTTGGTGCCATCATTGGCAAATTCTCGGGATGCCTGTCACTTTGTCAGCCACTGAGGCGAGGTCGCAGAGACCATATTTGCTGTTGAAAGTTCATGTGTACATGATGTACTGTAAGTACCTTCATCGTCGTACGCCCTCAAACCTCCCAACACATTAGAAGGAAGTTAAATGTCCGTCATCAGCTCGGTTTAAGGGAGGCTACCATCGGCACGACAACGTCCAGCCCACGCCTTCTCTATCGCTTCCGAACCCATCATAGCCTTGCACTTAAATCCTTCAGGTTAGCACTCGATCACCATCTATACACGCAGCGCTATACGCTACAAAATAGCCAACAATCAAGCTTAAGCTTGATCTCGGATAGAAAGGATCGCCCGGAAATTGGTACTGGTTGACAGACCCGTTATCAACAAGAATCATCATGAGAAGCGCCAGCTCATGACAGGTGTGCGCAGGGCCGCCTTCCCGCACTCGCCGTTCTCTGCATGGATATAGTGCTGCTCGTTCACTTGCAAAAAATATAGGGGATTAGTCTCTTGCGTGTGCAAATTCTCTCGTGATATATACTTCGTCGGGTCCAAGTGCCCGGAGGGCTGTAAAAGCCTGTTCCCAATGTATACAAGGCCAGCCCCGGGTGCTACCAGGTTGTTCCGTATTCTTGTATATATCTGGCTACTAGGCCTTGCTTCTCTGACTGTCACTCAGGCAGCCAGGCTCCCGCCACCTCAGTTACCAGTAGGTCTATGACTAATTTACCCGACAGGTTCGCTTCTTTTAACTGTCTCGTTGATACCAGTTCCATGGTTTTTCGCGCCACACTGTTGCCGGTCAAGCTGTGTTTTTTCTGCATCGTGTTCCTTCAGTCAGTGAGTGTGGCGATACAGATTCCATCATTTCCGCTAAACAATAAGACACGTTCTAACATCGGCAGGGTAGAATTTACAGACTAGACAGTGGTTTCCATGCCGATCGGAAAATTATGATCAATCGCCGAAGCTCAGTCTTCCATAATTCTATTACACTCGCGAGTGTATTTGATTCTTTCATTGACTATTACTCTTCTCAACGCGAATTAATGACCCAAATGATGCGGTCATGACTTTCCGAGTGCGACGATTCTCTCGAGACACCATACGGCCACATGTACTGACGTTTTAGGGTGCATGTATCCAACGGAGAAGTCGAAACATAAACGCATAAAGGGAGGCGACTTTTAAAAAGCAAATTGCACATCGGGCCTCAACTTTCAGCTCATTCATTCCTCAGCTACACTACCACACTTCATCCACCTCACAAGCAAAGCGCCTTGCATCATGAAATTCTCATCTGTCCTGTTCTCCATCTCCGTCTTTGTCCTTTCCGCCTTAGCACAAACGACAGAAACCCTTTCATATGACAGCACGTACGATAACGGCTCCCTCTCCCTTTCCAGCGTCGCTTGTTCAGATGGTGCCAACGGGCTTCAGACAAAGGGATACACGACCCTTGATTCACTTCCCACATTCCCTAATGTCGGCGGTGTCTACACCGTGACGGGGTGGAATTCCGCTGCGTGCGGGGCCTGCTATAACGTCACATACGGGGGTAAATCTGTTACTATCCTCGCGGTTGACGTATCCAAAACCGGCTTCACTGTTTCAGAGGCAGCCATGAACACCTTGACTGGTGGCCTGGCCGTTGAGCTGGGAAGAGTGGATACTATGGCAACCCAAGTGGATGCGTCATTATGTGGATTGTAGTTGCATTGCATCGGTATGTATGCTGTTGCGGGTCCGCTATGTCTCCAATGAAGTTGAACATTTACCTTTTCAGGAAGTTTCTTCTGCGTCTGGACTCTGAGATCTGAGTGTCAGATAGACAATAACGCTCAAGCTGAGACTTGGGACTTACGGTTTCAATGGACTTGAATCGCATATCAAAATTTGTTGGATAAACGGACAACAGGTTCTTTGTGGAGTGGCTTTCATATGTAGACTACGGTTATTTGGACTTATCGACTTCGTACTTACCTGCATCGTCCATGTATAGTTTACATAGTGTCATGGACTTGACAGCGTTGCAGACCAATTGTAGATATCGCAGCATATTCCAGACAGCATTTTGCGCAAAACTTGAAGGAGGATGTGATGCGGACCTGACTTAAGCGGTACCCCGACATGCGAGGTAATATCAATGGCATGATGTTCCTGAACGTTAGCGAGAGCTTGCCTATAGTAGGCTATTGTACATGAAATGATACAACTGCAGGCTTTAGCGTATGGAAGTCATAAACACTACACCAACTAGCAAGATTTAATCAAAGCGCATCCCACCATCGATCGTGATCTACACAGTTGTCAGTCTTCGTGCACAGGCTCTCAAAGTAGCACTTACACTTTGCCCTGTTGATTATTTCACATCAGCAAGACAGACCGCAAAGAAGGTTCTATAATGCTTACCTGTGATAAAATGAGATTCTGCGGAGGCAATGTAAGAGACCAGTCCTGCAATGTCGTCTGGAGTCCCCAAATACCCGACACACGTATTCTTCTTAGACTACCAAGAAAGAAGCAAACTTGAGCGAAATCATGAGAACAGCCCTGTTGTCTTGTCTTACCTTTTCGTTATAGCAACTAGGGTCAGATGACCCCGTCAGCTTCATGCTTGCCTCATTTAGTTCGTCGACTTTGAAGCTCAGCTTGCATCACGAGATATCTTGTTTATGGCTTCACTCACTCATAGCCGTCATGATTGGTCCTGGAGCATAGGCATTCACGGTGATACCGTGGCATCCGAGTTCAATAGCTGACATATGATCACTTGTCAAAATTGTCGGAACGCAATGTAGATAGACATCATACCAGCAGACTGTGTAATCCCTCGGACTGCAAACTTGGAAGCAGAATACGCGCTAAGATTTTGTTCACCTGTGCGAAAGAATGTATTAGCGTTAGAACCTACGTATGGACATACACACCTCGTTTCCCTACTAGGGAGCTGGCGCCGATGATGCGTCGACCTCGTTTGTGGGTCTCATTCAAGGCAATCATCTTTCGAGCGGCGTATTTGTAGCTTAAAAACACGCCCGTAACATTGACAGCAAAGATCTTTTCCCAGTCTGCCAATGTAGCTAGTCAAGCAAAATCAGTACAACGTTGCAGATATGATTCACAGAGCCAAATTTCTTACTTTCTACCAATGGTGCGACGGCAATGATACCGGCATTTGCGACCATCTTAAAGTGGCATCAATGGTGAGAATAATTCGATGCTCTGGTATCTATACTCACGACATCCAGACCACCAAGCTCGGTCACAACGCCGTCCATCATCTTACGAACGTCGTCTTCGACTGTGACATCTGCAAGAAGTACGCAGGCCCTTCGTCCTGCATAAGTCCCCGTTATCTCCCGTGCGACTTCCTCGAGGTTCGACTTGTTGGTAGGAATATCACTGAGTCCAATGTCGAAGCCATCAGCAGCCAGCTTAAGAGAAATGGAACGGCCAATGCCTTGACCAGCACCAGTGATGAGAGCAACCCCTTTAGACATGGTAGCCAGAGATGTAAGTCAATGCTGGGAATCATGTCTGCAACCTGAGGTTATAACTGCAAGACCAAGCGTCCATCAGGTCATGGGTCTCAGTCCTCGAACATGTCAAAAATAGTACTCGGTAGCAAAGGTCCGAGATACGGCCCTATGACAGGGTATGACTAGCTTTGCAATCGATGCTATGAGTGATTTTCTTGAACGAACAAAATATAAGAAGCGGTATATGAATCAGACAGTGCTGTCCAAATATGAATAAAATAATCTCGAGGGCATATTTTATTCTAACCATATTATATTCTCAATCCGCCCCGAGATATTTAATGATAGTGTTATTTTATTCATATCGTATTCATAGGTATTCGTATCTATTCATATTTAATGGATAGAAACACCATCGAGGTACTGAATTCCATCACCAAGGCCAAGCTTCAACAATTCCTTGGTAATGACAGCGGCAGAAGCAGTCTCTGCAGTCATCGAGGAGCATGAATCAGAAAGGGTGTGTTTGCTACTGGAAAACAAGTGTTCAACGGCAACGCTGACAGCGGGTATAGCGAGGACATCACGAGCAATGCGCGACAGGATAGGAAATGTCGTCTCATGTTGCTGCGAAGACTACAGTGAGACATTTTCAGTAGAAATTATACGAGAAGTGTACTCACCTTCCACCACTGAAGGGGATTGGTCATTTGTTCAGGTGGACAAGGGTAGAGACCACTTAGATAGACGTCTACCTCGTTTTGAACTGTAGAGGAACCACTGCGAGACATAGTCAAAGCTGCAATGAGGGCAGATTTTGATGGCGAGGCTGGGACTGATGTGGGAATGGTAGCGGATGTTTTTCTAATGGTGCCGTCGTTGGTCGTATAAGTCTTGTAAAGGTGTTCAAGCAAAATGTGAGCACGACGGCCGAGATTCCTAGTGGGCCATAAGTTCTGGTCGTTGAAGTATGCAACTCGTATGCACGGATGCAAAACTAGTGTACATAGTAGTCAATGGCAGGCCTGTGATTGCATTTTGAAGGTCGGCGAGAAGCTGATCAGTGCTGCGGCCGCCAGATATGGCCATGTTTTTGATTTGAAGTGCGAAAGTCGCAGTGTTTTCGATTCTGCTGAATTTTGGCGTGTGGGAAATTTGTAGATAAACTGTACAGTTCACGTTGTCTGCGGTCAATTTGTCTCTCTTCGTTCGTGTTCCCGGGCCACCAATCTTCAACTGTAGGTATTCAGAATATGGATAAATACAGTGACCGTAATGTATTGTATTCATAATGTATTGTAACATATTCACCCATAATCTTCATGACTAGGAATACAGGACCTATGTATTATATTCAGGGTATTCGAATATAATCTGAATAATATTCAATCATATTCAGTATTGTGGACAGCACTGGGTATGATCTACTATCAATTGATAATATTAGTGAGACCGAGGAATTGGATTATCATGATTGACCTTTCTGAGATCTGTATTTCAAAAGATGAATTTCTCGTCCATTGATCATGTACATCCACAATAACTACAACTCACTGAATCCTGCCGTGCAAGTGCAAGTCCTACGTTCGCTGAGACGGCATCGAAGTTGGCGCTGATGAAGTTCAAATTTCCATCAGCTCTGATAAATTATCTACAGGAATGTCACCTACCGCTCCTCTGCATGATAGACGACATCCTATTAGCATTCTCATTGCAGGGTTTTCGTTCATCAATGGATGGTCATGTCACGATTAGCCAGGGCTGATACATGATGGTGTGTACTACTATGAGCCCAGCTGAGCGCCGCTGAATTCATAATTAACTGCATTTCCTGCCAGTGTTTTAATAGTACTCGGATTTGCGTTTTTATATGCATCATTTTCGAACAACATCCAGACTCTCACCAAGTTGCCAATGGTGCGTAGATCCCTGGATCTCGTGTGCCAATTGACTCGCGAGTCGCATACATTCAAAAGACTGTACAGTGCTTACTAGTATTCATTAGGTTTGTGGCGCTGCCAATCCAAAAGCGGCCCTATAATTAGATTAGTAGGCCCAGTACCCACGTACGAACGCCCGCAATTTTGCTCTCAACTCTCAACGCTCAACGCTCAATCACTACCCACCACCTACAACGAGTCATAATCACTACTAGCTTGTTTCTCATGAATCGTGAAGCTCAGCTTGAGAAACGTTTTAACGACATTCTCAAAGGCAGAGTTCCTGCAAATGCACAAAACTACGCTCACTTTTTGGAAGCGATTTGTGCACAGCAAGACCCTGCAGCCTGCATCCACAAAATCGTGGAGAGCTCCCAAGGCTCAACCGCAGTTCAGGCTGCCATGCGTCACAATACTAACTCCCAGTTCCTCAATGGTCCTGCAACCAAGCTTCTGCTATATCTCTTCCGAGCAACAGACCTCGGTGACGTCTTGGATCACTTACTCATCACCATAGTTGATCCTCCCATTTTTTGGACTGCCTTTACCCAAGCATTTGATCAAGGTGATCTCAATGAGCCAGCTCAGGAAGCATTCGCGGCACTCCTCCTTCGCCTCATGTGCCTCACTACGGGGAATACCTCGTGTTATCGTGACATTGCAAAGAAGTCTAGTATTCTTACGAGGCTTCTCGACTCATCACAATGGAAAGTCAAAGACATCGGCTACCGTATCCAACATATCCTTTCCACATTCAATTCTGGTACACCTGTCACTGCAGTCGGGGGACCTGGTGGTCGCCATGATAATGATTTTAACGACTTCAGGGAGATCTCCATTCTTCCAACTGCAGACGAGATTCTCTGCCAGCAGCCTCCTTTCATTCGCCCGAGCAGCGTATTGGAGGATCCTGATGGCGAGGCAACTCGTACAGCTGACTACCTGGATAATACCTTCCGCTTGCTGCGCGAAGACATGTTATATGAAATAAGAGAAGAGCTCCAGACCGCTATAGGGCAGAAGAAAGGGCGTCACCGTGGGGTCACCATCGACGGCGTCACACTCATCGGCGTTTACAGCGGTGCGGATGATAGAAAAACTCGGTGGGGCATCAAACTCAAATGCCAAGATGATTTCAAGTCGATGAAGAATGTCCCTGACAAGCAGCGCAAGACATATCTCGAAAAAGATCCAGCGGGCGTTAGAATTCTCAAACATCAGTCTCTCGTATGCATACTTTCGGGAAATAAAGTAATCAGTCTCGCAAGCGTCAATCGCGTCGAGGCACTTCTTGCGCAGAAACCACCTGTCGTTGTACTTCAGCTAGAAGGGGAGGCTAGCATCACAAAGACTCTCTTTCAGTTACAATCATCCAATGACATCCGGCTCGTTCAGATTGACACTGCCCTCTTTGCATTCGAGCCGGTCTTGAAGGCTCTGCAGAAGACGCAAGTCCTTCCGTTGTCGGAGGAGCTCCTGTTCTGGAAGGACGGGAACACCATCGGTAGCGCTGCGGTGACCGCGGCTCAGGTTACGCGTCCACTTGCTATGAATCCGTCCATGGATTTGAAGCAGCTTCTAGGGCTTTCATCTAGTATTGTCCTTGATAAGTCGCAGGCGGCATCGCTATTGGCTGGACTTACGCAGAGGCTTTCCCTTATCCAAGGCCCTCCAGGTAGTGTTCATCAGCCACTCATTCATATCTGTTTTGTTGACATCCCAAAGGGACTGGAAAATCATTCATTGGTGCGCTGCTTGCGAAGGCCATCTACGATCACACCGAGCAGAAAATCCTTGTAGTCTGCTATACGAACCATGCCCTAGATCAATTCTTGGAAGATCTCATGAAGATTGGGATTCCGGACATTAGCATGGTCCGCCTCGGCGGCAGACCAAATGCGCAGGTCGCTCATCTTGGCATTGCGGGCCAGAAGAAAGAGCGTTTCATTCGATCCAAAGCTGATTGGACTATTATTGACGACTTGAAAAAGTCATCGACGTTTCACTGCAAAGCTCTAGAGACCGCCATGGATAGGTTCATAGCTTCGAAGATTAGTTTCACAGACATCCTCACGTACATCGAATTTGAAGAACCGACCTACTTCAACGCATTCCATGTATCTGAATACGATGCTTCGGGAATGACTCGTGTCGGCAAGGACGGCAAAGCTGTCGATACTGAGGAACTCATCTTTCGATGGGCCAGAGGATTTGACGCTGGGCAGTTCAAAGCCGAGCCCAATGTACGTGAGGCTCGAGATATTTGGAAAATGCCTCCAGATGCTCGCCGGGACGTGATAGAGAGGTGGAAGTCAGAGATACGCAAATTAATCCTCGAGGAGATTTACACACTTGGCACAAACTACAACGGATGCCAAGATCAACTGACACGCAAGTTCGGGGAAGCCAGGGTGGCAACCCTCATTGGAAAGAGAATCATCGGATGCACAACGACTGGGGCAGCTATGTTTGCGCAGGACATTCGTGCGGCGAATCCTGATGTCCTTCTCGTTGAAGAGGCTGGTGAGATCCTAGAAAGCCACGTCCTCACCGCGATGGGTGAGACCACAAGCCAGATGATTCTCATTGGTGATCACAAGTACGTGAATCAATAGTGATTTTCAGTACATCTCGCTGAGGTTGACTCCTTACAGGCAACTGCGTCCCAAAGTCAACAACTACAAGCTGACTGTTGAAAAGGGTGATGGGTTTGAGCTCAACAGATCACTATTCGAGCGCCTGGTTCTCAAAGGCTTTCCTCATGAAACTCTGACAGCCCAACATCGTATGCGTCCAGAAATTTCAGCATTTATCAGGAAAATTACGTACCCTGACCTCACGGATGCTGCCAAGACCCAAGGCCGTGGCAACATTCGCGGTATTCAGGACAACGTCATCTTCATTGACCACACTCATCCTGAGGATGACGACTCTCGTATCTCAGACAAAGGTGATGGGGCTTCGTCTGGGTCAAAACAGAACACCTATGAAGTAGAAATGGTTTGGAAGATCGTACGCTACCTCGCTCAGCAAGGCTATGGGACGGAGAGGCTAGTCGTTCTCACACCCTACCTTGGGCAGCTTTCGAGGCTTCGAGATGTCCTAAAGAGGGACAATGACCCTGTGCTCAATGACCTCGACTCACATGATCTCATCCGAGCCGGACTTATGTCCGCAGCTGACAACACGTCCAAGAAGCGCATCAGGCTTGCCACGATAGGTATGGATCTGCTACTCGACTCATAGCGCACATTTAACATTGTTTGAATAGATAATTATCAGGGTGAAGAGAGTGATATTGTCATCGCCAGTCTGACGAGGTCCAATAAATCCAACGACATCGGCTTCATGAACTCCCCCGAACGTCTGAACGTGCTTATCTCCCGGGCTCGAGATGGACTCATCCTGATCGGGAACTCGCAGACATTTATGAATGCTCGGAAGGGCAAGGAGCTATGGGGAAGTTTTTTCAAGCTCGTCAAAGAAGGCGACCACATGTACGAAGGTTTCCCGATCAAATGTGAACGACACCCGAATCGAACTGTCCTAATTAAATCTGCATCCGAATTTGATACTCTCTGTCCCGACGGTGGATGCACAGAAATATGGTAAGAATTTGGAAATTTTTAACATTGTTCTCGCTCACTATCTCTAGTAACACCATGCTGAACTGCGGCATCCATCCTTGTCCACTTAAATGTCATCAAATCGCAGACCATTCCCAAATGCCATGTCAACACCCGTACTCGGACACGTGTCCTGTCAACCACAAGTTGAAGTGGAAGTGCCATCAGTCAAAGCCAGACCCTTGTCCATTTTGTGTCAAGGAAGCCGAACGTGCCGAGGAGAAGCGAAAACGCGAACTCGAACTGAAGCAGAAACTGGAAGAAGAGGAACTGCAACGTCAAATACAACGCGAACAGGAGCGGTTGGAGCACGAATTACAAATGGCTAAGCTGAATGCTGAGTTGAAGGCGGAAATGGATGCTGTAGCTGATGCCCAGGTCGCGCAGCAGCGAGCAAATGCCATGAGGCAGAAAATCAAAGATATCGAGGCAGCCAGAGCCAATGCACTGAAGGCAGCTGCAAATGCGCAGGCGCATGCTGATGCCGCCCATTCTGCTTCGTCATCCAGGACGACAAATCCCGTACCTCCCACACCTCCATCCAATCCGCAATCAAACGTACCTCCGCCAAACGCTACTCCTCCGTCGCCGCCGCCGAACCCACCACCAAAAACGAAACCTTCACCTAGCCAGACTCCTTCGAATTCCAAGCAATCGAAGCCTCAACAACCTGGACCTTCCTCGACGTCCCCGATGAATGCAGTACCTACGTCGGCTGCCCATCAGGATTGGTTGCATCAGAAGCAAGTCAACGGTGAAAAAAATAGCGCAATCGATAGTATCATGGAGTTGACAGGGCTCGAGGATGTGAAAGCCCAAGTGCTCCGTATCAAGGCCCATATTGACTTGATGAAACGGCAAGGCGTCCCTCTAAACAAGGAGCGTCTCAATCTGGTCTTGCTCGGCAATCCAGGAACTGGTGAGTAATGGTCGAGGTTTTTAGTGAATGAGCCACTCATATCCCTCCAGGAAAAACCACAGTCGCAAGATTGTATGCGCAATTCCTCGAATCAGTTCAAGTTCTCCCAGGCGATGCGTTCATTGAAACGACGGGTTCAAGCTTGGCGCATGAAGGGGTGGGTGGAGCAAAAAAGCTCATAGAAGACGCCATGAAGGTTGGAGGAGGCGCTATTTTCATCGATGAAGCATACCAGCTCGTCAGCGAACACCAGCACACAGGAGGTCAGGTGCTGGACTTTCTCCTTGCCGAAATGGAGAATCGAGTGGGTACTCTAGTCTTCATTCTCGCGGGATACAGCAAGCAGATGGAGAAGTTCTTTGAGCACAACCCTGGCCTTCCCAGTCGTGTTCCGTACACTCTCAAGTTTGCGGACTACACCGACCCGGAGCTTCTAACGATGCTGGAAGCACTCATTGAGAAACGATATTCGGGACAGATGAAGGTGGAAGATGGTATCAGGGGCTTATATGCTCGAATTGCAGTGCGTCGACTTGGACGCGGTCGAGGTCGCGAGGGGTTCGGAAACGCTCGGGCATTACAAAACATGTTTGCGAAGGTCGCCCAGAGACTAGCCGAACGACTTAAGAAGCAACGCCAGCAAGGGTGGATCGCAGATGATTTTTTAATCACCAAAGAGGACTTCATCGGTCCTGACCCATCCCAGGTCCTTCCGCAGTGCGCTCCTTGGGAGAAGCTACAGAAAATGATAGGCCTTGGTTCCGTGAAAGACTCTGTTCGTAATTTCTTTGACATCGTCGACACAAACTATCACCGAGAGCTTCAAGAGAAAGAGCCTCTTGCGATGTCTTTGAACCGCGTCTTTCTTGGCTCTCCAGGAACCGGCAAAACGACAGTTGCGAAGCTCTATGGACAAATACTCGCAGAACTAGGACTCTTGAGCAACAGTGAAGGTGATAATCCATACTTGTGTTGTTGTCTGCCCGTTGACTGATGACATTCTATCAGTCGTCGTCAAGAATCCATCTGATTTTGTGGGCGCATACCTTGGTCACTCAGAGAAGAACACCAAAGCTATCTTGGATAGTACTGTTGGTAAAGTCTTAGTTATAGACGAGGTATGCGATCCCAGATTCTAGCCGGTGTTAATATTGACCTCATCTGACAGGCTTACATGCTGTATAGCAAGAATTCTGGATCCCAAGACCAATTTAAAACGACTGTAATCGACACCTTGGTCGCAGAGATTCAAAGTGTACCTGGAGAAGATCGCTGTGTTTTGTTATTGGGATACAAGGAACAGATGGAAGAGATGTTCCAGGTACGTTCAACAGTTCACTTGAATTACCGGGTGTAAAATTTGATACGTCTACTCAGAACGTGAACCCCGGGCTCGCTCGCAGATTTGCCATTGAAAATGCATTCACTTTCGAGGACTTCACTGAGTCCCAACTGCGGGATATCTTGGACTTCAAGCTAAAGGATCAGGACCTTGGGGCCACTGACTCGGCGAAACAAGTCGCCAGTGATCTTCTGAGCAGAGCCAAGAACCGCCCTAACTTCGGCAATGCTGGTGAGGTGGAGAACATGCTCGGTCTGGCAAAATCCCGCTATCAGAAGCGTCAAGCATCGATCCCTCCCGATCAACGTTCCGATGTGATCTTCGAGCCTCAAGATTTCGATCCAGATTGGGATCGCGATCGCAATGCTGCAGCTAATTTGACGAAACTCTTCGAAGATCTTGTTGGTTGTGATGACATTGTGACGAAGCTGGGCAACTACCAGAAAATTGCTCGTGCGATGAAGGCTACTGGCGTGGATATGCGCAAACAAATTCCAACGAGTTTCATTTTCAAAGGACCACCAGGTACTAAGTAACAATTTCTTATCTAGAGCGGAATGTTGATGCTTTACTTATCCCTAGGTACTGGCAAAACAACTATTGCGAGGAAGTTCGGTCAGGTGTATTACGACATGGGATTTCTTTCTTCGTCTGACCTTATCGAGTGTTCCGCCTCCGACCTCGTAGGGCAATACGTGGGTCAGACCGGCCCAAAGACGAAGAAACTTTTCGAGAAGGCCTTGGGCAAAGTACTTTTCGTGGATGAAGCGTACCGACTTAGCAACGGGCATTTTGCGCAAGAAGCTATTGATGAAGTTGTCGGCCTCATGACCAACGAGAAGTTCATGAACAAGATGGTCATCGTTCTTGCAGGTTATGAGAATGAAATGAACGCTCTTTTGAGTGTTAATCCGGGTCTCGCCAGTCGTTTCTCTGAAGAAATCACTTTGACCAACATGACAGCGGCCAAGTGTCTTCAAGTGCTCGACAAGGAATTGCAGAAGACGCAGATCGTCTTGTCCGAGCTAGCTGACACTAATTCTTCTGCTTACTCCGAGATGGAGATTATAGTCGACCGAATGTCACGCTTGTCGAACTGGGGGAACGCCCGAGACGTCAAGACTATTGCCCAGAGACTCATCCATCACGCCTTCAATACTGTGGCAAATAGTCCTGGGAGTACCCCATCGCTTACTGCAGACGAGGCGATAGCTATCATGAAGGACCTACTCAATCAGCAACGCCAGCGACTGAATATTCCACGTATAACCACTTCACCCTCGTCAACCAAACTGCCGATGGCATCGTCCAGCAATTCCGCCCCTCCCCCACCCCCTTCCCAATCAGGTTCTTCTTCCGCAACCAATGGATCTCAACCACCTAAACCACCTTCCCAAAAGAGCTCTTCATCCAACCAGTCGCCGCCAAAGCCTCCTCCGAAGTCAGGGCCACCCTCTACACCCAGCGGATCTCAACCACCTAACAAGCCACCTTCACGCCCTAGCGTACCATCTAACGCATCGCATCCAAAAGTTCCGCCTCCCCGACCATCAACCCCCTCGTCTACTGCAAAGGTCACTCCACAACCGACTTCTCGTCGCTCAAGGCAGCCCAGGGGTTCTCAGCAGGCGTCGCCCGCATCATCCAGTTCGCACAGTCTTCCTCCTTTCTCTATTTCAGGCGCCCGGACTGCTTCTCCTATTCTGTCAAATGGCAGTATCCCGCCAACTCCAAATCAGCGAGGGAAAAACATGCAGTCACATATTCAAAGCACCCCGCGACCCCAGTCTACCAATGATGTTCGGCGTGACCCAGGAGTTGCCAATGCTGTCTGGAGGCAGTTGGAGGCCGATAAAGCGGCGGCGCAGGAGGCAAAAAGGAAAGCGATCGAGGAGATCAAGAGGCGTGATGCTGAATTGAGTAGAGCCGCTCAAAGACAGCAAGCTGCGGAGGCTGCAGCTCGGGCCCTTGCTCAGCAAAGGGCACGAGACCAGGCTGAGCGGGAAGAACTCAGGCGCCAGCAAGAGGCGGCTCGAATTCGAGAGGCGGAGGCAAAGGCAGAAAGGGAGAGAGCTGCTGCTGCACTCTTCCAGATGCGTCGGGAGGAAGAGAAGAAGAAACGCGAAGAAGAGAGGATACAGCAGAAGTTGAGAAATCTCGGTGTCTGCGTACAAGGCTACGCATGGATCAAACAACCATTTGGTTACCGTTGTGCGGGCGGCAGCCATTTTATTAACGACTCCCAGCTGCGCTAAGTTCCGTATCGATTCTGCGTACGGTAGCATTTCCTTTACATGATTGTGTTTTAGACTCACGGCACTTGACGTTGATAGTAGTAGGCCTACTAGAGTAACGACTGATAAATCGAATTTTGTGTGACTGTCACACTGTTTCTGGTAGTGGTGTCGAAGCTACTAGACATGTCGTCAAAACAAAAACATATCTCATGCTTGGGACAACTTGGAAACCTTGTTGAGAAATGAGCGCTGAGCGCTAGCTGGAGTACTACGCGAGTCAGCCACAGGTCACATAATAATATGATACCGTCGCGACGATGAAGCCTTATCGATCAAGTTCCAGGGTTCCACAGGCCGACGGGCTCGGATCTTCTTGGGCGCTCTCTTATCATCATGTGAAGGATCCAGGATTCGCCAACACATACTAGTGCTAACTGGTGCTTGCGCAGATCCTGTTTGTTGTCCTTCGATCACACGTGCACTTCCGAGTCTAACCCTCAAAGTTCAACCTATCAGACTTTTCTATTACCACACAATCTCGAACGTATTTTTTCTCCACACTACCATCAACACCGCTGTTGCCGCTGAAGGACGCCCAGAATATGTCGGATCGACGAGCTGCATTATTGAACAAACGGTTCTATGATGTTCTCAAGGGCAAAGTCCCTATCGAGCCACGAAACTGTCACTTATTTCTCGATTCCATATGCTCCCAACCGGACGTTGCGTTATGCATAAACAAGATAGTGGGAGAATCAAAAGGACCCTCTATTGTCCAGGAGGCGATGCGATTGGACTTGTCGGTAGAGTTTATGAATGGCATTGGTGCTAACGTTCTTGTATATCTCCTCCAGGCCACAAGCATCAGCAGTAATGTGCTGGATCACCTGCTTGTCCAGATAGTCGAACCAGATTTCTTCTGGTCGGCGTTTAGCCACGCTTTTACTCGTGGAGAGCTACTCGAAAAGGCTCAACATGCGTTTGCTGGCCTCCTCCTTCGGCTGTTGAACCTTTCCAACCACGACACAACACCTTATCTCGAACTAGCTGGCAGGCCAACTGTGCTCCCAAAACTTACAAGCTCTGCAAACTTGGAAGTCCGGCTTATTGGAGAGAAGATCAAGCATATCCTTTCGACATATGGCTCCTCAACCCCTCCATCGGCTGTCAATGGCCCAGGCGGACGACATGACAATGATCTTGTCAATTTTCGCGACATTGCTATCCTTCCCACAGCAGACGAAATCAGATCTAAACAGCTACCATTCTTGCGCCATAGCTCGGAGCTGGAAGATGAATCTGGAGAAAGCACTCGTACCGCGGATTACCTCGATAATACATTTCGTCTTCTTCGCGAAGACATGATAGCAGAGATGAGAGAGGAACTTCAAGCGCTAGAAGGAAAGAACGTCAAGCGCCACCGCGCCAACCTGATAGATGGTGTTATACTCAAAGGCGTTTATCATGGCACTGATGATCGGAAGATGTTGTGGGGAATAACATTAGAGTGTGTCGACGACCTGCCATCTCTGAAGCGCATTCCCCTGGAGGATAGGAAAGCGTATCTAACAGATGATCATGCTGGCTCCAAGATCCTTCGTCATCAATCACTCGTCTGTGTGGTGGTTGATAAGGAAGTGGTCGGCTTTGGCACTGTGAATCGAGTGGAAGATCTCTTGATCCGCAGCCCTCCTGTTATCGTTGTTCAACTGGACGGGCGGGCGAGTACAAGCAGAACCATTCTCCAGCTCCGCAATGCCAAAGACGCGAAGCTCCTCCAGATTGACACTGCTCTTTTTGCTTTTGAGCCGGTGCTCAAGGCATTGCAGAAGACGCAGTACATCTCAGTATCAGATGAACTACTGTTCTGGAAGCGTGGTGTTACTCTGCAGAATCCTCCGCAAATGGCTGATCATGTCATTACGGCTATCGAAGCCAACCACTCTGGAAACTTGCAACACTTGCTTCAGACTCCCGACCCCATACATTTAGATCGTTCGCAAGCCTCGTCTATTCTTTCTGGCCTGACTCAGAGGGTGTCTTTAATACAGGGCCCTCCAGGTATGTTCTTTGACGCTGGATGCTAAGTGAATGCTTATGTGGCGGGTCAGGGACCGGAAAGTCATTTGTAGGCGCCCTCTTAGCCAAAGCTCTTCACGACTTCACCGATCAGACAATTCTCGTTGTCTGTTATACTAACCATGCTCTGGACCAGTTTTTAGAAGATCTTCGCAAAATCGGCATTCCTGATAACAATATGGTTCGACTTGGGGGCAGAGCCAAACCGCAGCTGGCGCATCTCAACCTCTTCAATCCCAGTCAGAGAACGTCCCAGCCCTCACGGACTACAGCAGATTGGACGATGATCGATGAATTCAAGAACAGACTCAAATATCTCTGCGGTCGCCTTGACAGCTCTGTTGCAGAGTTCATGAGAAATAGGATTGGCTACGAGGATATTCTAACGCATATCGAATTCGAGGATGAGGCTCATTTTGAAGCGTTTCGCGTTCCCAGCTCAGACGATGGCATGGCCGTTGTAGGCCGCAGAGGTCGGGAGATTGACCCAACGTATCTAATCGCACTATGGGAAAGAGGCCGTGATGCGGGTATCTTCAAAAATGCGGCTCACCTGAAGACGGACGAATCGGCTCGGATTTGGACTACCCCGTTGCCTGTCCGTCAGAGCTTGTTGGCGAAGTGGAAGAACGAGCTTCAGAAGCAGATGGTAGATGATATTGGCACCGTTGGCAGAGAATACAATAGCTGTCAGATAGACCTCACTCGGAAGTTCGGCGAGTCGTTGGTCGCAACACTCAAGGAGAAAAGGATCATTGCATGCACTACAACAGGGGCTGCGAAATTTAGTGAAGACCTTCGAACTGCCGCTCCCGATGTTGTCCTTGTAGAGGAGGCTGGAGAGATCTTGGAGAGCCATATTCTGACTGCTCTTGGCGCAAACACAAATCAGCTGATCCTTGTTGGAGACCACAAGTAAGCATGCTTTCAATCGCTACCTTTAGCGCCTCATTCTGAGTCATGAATTTAGACAATTGAGACCGAAAATCAATAGTTATCCCCTGCAGGTCGAGAGTGACCAAGGATACGACTTGAACAGGTCGCTTTTCGAGCGCCTTGTTCTAAAAGGATTCCCTCATGCTACTCTCACCCAGCAACATCGTATGCGGCCTGAAATCTCTGCACTCGTGCGCGAACTCACATACCCCGAACTCACTGATGCTGCCAGCACTCGCGGCCGAGCTGATATTCGTGGCATCCAAGATAACATCATTTTCGTCAACCATGCGCACCCTGAGGATAATGAGGGCAGAGTCAGCGATTGCAGCGATCTTGGTTCCATGACTTCAAAACAAAACTCTTACGAAGCTGGCATGGTTCTGAAGATCGTCCGATACCTCGCTCAACAAGGCTATGGGACAGATAATATTGTTATCCTAACGCCTTATCTTGGACAGCTCTCCAAACTTCGGGAAGCTCTCAAGGCAGACAATGACCCGGTGTTAAACGACCTCGATTCTTATGACTTGGTCCGTGCGGGGCTGCTCTCCCCCGACGCTGCAAAGTCATCCAAAAGGAAGATAAGGCTCGCTACTATAGGTATGAATTCCATTAGAACGAATACCTGACGTTTGACTGACTGGAGCAGACAATTACCAGGGAGAGGAAAGTGATATCGTAATTGCTAGCTTGACACGATCGAATCCTGATGGCGCTATCGGCTTCATGAAGTCCCCTGAACGTTTGAACGTCCTCTTGTCTCGGGCCCGTGACGGTTTTATTCTCATCGGCAATATGAACACGTTCGAGAGCAAATCCCCCCTTTGGAATCGTCTATTCGATCTTCTCAGACAGACATCACACATCTATGAAGGGTTCCCAGTTAAATGCGAGCGCCATCCTGCGCGGAAGGCTATTCTGCGAGATGCTAATGATTTCGACAATCAATGTCCAGATGGAGGTTGTGCGGAGCCTTGGTGAGTGTCCTTTCAACAATGTTGGGTGCATCTCGCTGACGTTGGTCCTTTAGTGGCATCATGCTCAGTTGCAACGTGCACCCTTGTCCTTCAAAGTGCCATCAACTTTCTGATCACTCCAAAGTACCTTGCCAACAGCCGTTATTTGGGAAGTGTGGTGCGGGCGTCCACAAAGTTTCGTGGAAGTGTCATAAAGGGCCTTCCCTAAAGTGCACTCCATGCGAGAAGGATGCGGAGCGCACTACAAAGCAGTTACTGCGTGATGCAATACTCCAGGAAAAACGTGATGCCGAGCAAGCTGCTCATGATACCCGAATGGCTGAAATGGATGCGCGACTTAAAGCCGAGGTTGAAATTATTGCGGATGCCAATACTGCGAAGCAAAGAGAGGCTATGCTCAAGCAGAAGGAACGGGAGATCCAAGAGGCAAAAGTTCGCGCGCAGAAAACAGCAGGTTCCTCGAAAGGCGGCAGTGCAGACGCATCCAAACCAACGACCTCTCCCTCACAGCAATCCCCACATCCTTCATCTACTCCTTCGCAACCTTCCGGTAGCCAAAAAAGCTCTGCTGCTCGTGACGACTGGGAATCACAGAAGAGGCTCTTGGGCGAGCAAAATGACGCAATTGATAGTATTATGGCAATGACTGGACTGGAAGGAGTGAAGTCGCAAGTTCTACAAACCAAGGAGAAGCTAGACTTGATGAAACGTCAAGGAACACCTGCGAACAAGGAGCGTCTGAATCTTGCGCTCTTGGGAAATCCAGGGACAGGTAGGAACCCTTTTTCGTGTAATTTTCTTGCGCTAATTTAAAATTTCTACAGGGAAAACAACGGTCGCAAGGCTGTATGCCCAGTTTCTCGAATCGATACAAGTACTTCCAGGAAACGCATTCAAGGAAACCACAGGGGCGAGTCTGGCACATGATGGCGTCGGTGGTGCAAAGAAGCTCATCGAGGACGTTATGAAGGTCGGCGGTGGTGCCATATTCATCGATGAGGCCTATCAGCTAGTTAGCTCACAGGGCGGGTCTGGTACCGATGTTCTGGACTTCCTGTTGGCAGAGATGGAGAACCGCGTTGGAAGCCTTGTTTTCATTCTTGCCGGCTACAGCCGTCAGATGGAGAAATTCTTCAGTCACAATCCAGGTCTTCCGAGTCGTGTGCCGCATAGATTCACCTTCGAGGACTACACCGACGAAGAGCTCCTTGATATGCTTGCTGATATGGTGGAGAAACAGTATGGAGGCAGGATGAAGGTCGAAGACGGCATCCGGGGTCTCTATGGCCGAATCGCAGTCCGACGCCTGGGCCGTGGTCGCGGCCGCGAAGGATTTGGCAATGCTCGTGCACTGCAAAACATGTTTGCACAGATACGTCAACGGCAGGCTGCCAGGGTAGGAAAAGAACGCAAAAATGGATCATTACCGGACGATTTCTTGCTCGTTAAAGAAGATCTTATTGGTCCCAATCCAGACTCAGTTCTTCCGCACTGCCCTTCGTGGATAAAGTTGCAAAAACTCACTGGTCTTGAATCTGTGAAGCAATCTGTCAACAACCTTTTCAACCTCATTAGGGCGAACTATCATCGCGAGTTGGCAGAAAAGCAGCCTCTCGATATGGGCCTGAATCGGGTTTTCTTGGGCTCCCCAGGCACTGGCAAGACCACTGTCGCCAAACTCTATGGCCAGGCACTGGCAGACCTAGGGCTTCTCAGTAACGGCGAAGGTTTGTAATTCTGCTGAAGAATCTTTGAGGATCATTGCCTGATTGCCGTCTTTAGTTGTGGTGAAGAACCCTTCAGATTTTACCGGGCAACACCTCGGCCAATCTGAACAGAACACTAAGGCCATCTTGGAGAGTACTGTCGGAAAGGTCCTGGTCATTGATGAGGTGAGTATATATGTCCGCCTTCAACTTGTGGTTCTCAACGCCCCGTTAGGCATACATGCTGCACAGTAAGAATGGTGGTGCCCAGGACCCCTATAAGACCGGTGTCATTGATACCATGGTTGCGGAGATACAGAACGTACCGGGGGATGACCGTTGTGTGTTGTTATTGGGATACAAGGAGCAAATGGAAGACATGTTCAAGGCAAGTGCACGACTTCATGATCGAAAGCCAGCTCTGACACACGAATCAGGATGTCAATCCCGGCTTTGCTCGGCGCTTTGCGATTGAGGACGCGTTCATGTTTGAAGACTTTACTGAACCTCAACTACAGGAAATTTTCGAACGCAAGCTAAAAGACCAAGACCTCAGTGCAACAGAGAAAGCTAAGCAAATAGCGCTTGGTCTTTTGAGCCGAAGAAAGAACCGTCCGAACTTTGGGAACGGAGGGGAAGTGGAAAACATGCTGACTTTTGCAAAAGATCGATATCTAAAACGGCAGGCATCGCAACCTTCCCATCTGTCTCAGGACATCGTCTTCGAACCAGAAGACTTCGATCCTAATTGGGACCGTGATCAGCACGCTGCAGCAAACTTGACTCAGTTATTCGAAGATATGGTTGGATGCGAAGCTGTCATTCAAAAGCTGGGAGATTACCAGAACATGGCACAAGGGATGAAAGCATCGGGACTGGATATGCGCAAGCAAATACCTACTAGTTTCATCTTCAAGGGACCACCTGGTAATCAAATCATGTCCGAAGTTGTTGTTCACGCATTGATGCCTTCTCTTTAGGAACTGGAAAGACGACCATCGCAAGGAAATTTGGTCAAGTCTATTATGACATGGGCTTCCTCGCATCTACAGAACTGGTAGAGTGTTCCGCATCGGATCTCGTTGGCGAGTACGTTGGCCAAACAGGTCCCAAGACGAAGAAACTTTTTGAGAAGGCCGTCGGCAAAGTCCTCTTTGTGGACGAAGCCTATCGACTCAGCCAAGGTCATTTTGCGCAGGAAGCCATTGACGAAGTTGTAGGGCTGATGACCAACGAGAAGTTCATGGGCAAGATGGTTATCATCCTGGCAGGATATGAGAAGGAGATGAACCAACTTTTGGGTGCGAACCCTGGGCTTTCCAGTCGGTTTTCCGAGGACTTCATTCTGCCTAATATGTCGCCAACCCGATGCCTCGAACTGCTTGACAAGGATCTGTGTGGGTCAAAGGTCGTCGTTCAAGGGCTGTCTGATCCATCGTCATCACTGTACGAGGAGATGCTCAACATCATCGCTGATATGTCGAGCCTCGAAAACTGGGGTAATGCGCGTGACGTAAAATCTATTGCGAAACGGCTAGCTCGCCCTGCGTTCATCTCAGCTGGGAAAGCTCCAGGGAGTTCACTGGTCGTTTCATCAGAAGACGCATTACGTATCATGAAAGATCAACTCTATGAGCAGCGACAACGTCTCAACTTACCAAACAAGACGGTATTATCAACCCCTGGTGTCCCACAGATGGCTATGTCACGAGACATCGCACCTCCTCCTCCTTCAACCTCTCAGAGTGTGTCTCATACAGCTCCTCCAAAGCCCCCTGCTTCCAAGCCACCTCGTCAACGAACACGGCAGCAACCCAAACCTGCCTCCAGCGGGTCATCTCCACCAAACACCACGGTTTCATCTCAGGTTAGTGTCACACTACATAAGACAGCGAAGGGGTTACTCAAACAAAGTTCAAGACAAATGATGAGGTGCAACGGGATCCCGGCGTAGATGATGCTACTTGGACAAGGCTGCAAGCGGACAAAGCAGCTGCGGAAGCAGCCGAAAAGGATGCCGCTGAAGAGTTACGAAAGCATAATATTGCGCAGCAGAATGCCCTGAACGAGCTGCAAGCTGCAGAAGCTGCTGCACGAAAACTCGCGCAGAAACAAGCGCATGATAATGCTGCCAACGAAGAGCTCATGCGCCAGCGAGAGGCTGCTCGCATCCGAGAGCTAGAGGCTAAGGCTGCTCGAGACAATGTCTTGGCCGCGCTGAAGAAGAAGCAGGAAGAGGAAGTGAGGAGGAGGCGCGAGGAGGCTCAAGTACAGCGGAAGTTGCAGGAAATGGGTGTGTGCGTTGCCGGCTTTCGTTGGATCAAGCAGATGCACGGTTATCGATGTGCTGGTGGTACCCATTTCATTTCGAATGACCAGCTGGGTATCTAGGTCGGATTCGACATCCTGGCCAACCTACTTGGACAGCCTTACATTATCCTTAGTCTTCCAAGGAGAATCATGGACGAAAATTTCTTCTATTCTTGTTTATATGCATTGAACTTGATTGAACTCTCCGCTGTAAGTTACTGTTAATTTGACGAATCAAATGCCAATCCAATATTACCTGATTTAACATGATCATAGTATCTGCCATTGAAACCTTGAGTAAATCATCGAGAGGAAACATTAGGATAGTTTGCGAAGACTAGATTGAGATATCCACCATCGAGCACGAGATTGGGGATTGAAGCTTCAGTCAATACTTCGAGGATACAAATGATCTTACACGAGTCGTGGCTCAGAATTTCCGACAACATTCAAGGCAGACTGAAATTCGATTGTTATGCATGCAGGTCTAGCAGTGCTCGAAGTAGAGGAGCTTCAGGACATGTCTGACGTCTGTTGTACTAGGTGTATCCAAAGGACTCGATGTGAGGAGTAACATTCGGACCACCGTTGGCTGCACTAAGAGGGCTCAACGCTGGGAATTGAATGATAGCTTCATTTACAGTGACCGTCAGGTTTGTACAGCATAGGCACGTTGTAAGGGTGCGATATCGATTAAAGCAAGCGAAACGAGAAGACTGCAAGGCTGAAGAAGAGCAGGCCATTCCACACTTTGAGAAGAATTTACGTATTGCGAAGCCGCACTGCTTGGATATCACCTCGTTGATATGGACACTAGACAGGCCATCCTACCGCTGTCAAACACAGAACTGATAAGATGTTATGAGTGTAATATTTGAACTCGCCTTTACTGCATGGAATAGAAGCTCAGGCTGTGCCACCACAGCTGGAGCATGATACATCATGGTGCACTTCACTGCCACTGCCACAGTTCTTGGAACTTTGCAATTCTCCGTATGCAAGCTTTCGTTTACTCGGTCTAGGCACATGCAACTGCTGTCGAATCGTGTACTCGCAAACACCAATCAACTTATACAGCCGCTGTAATCAACGTGCGGTAATTTGGTCCCAGAGATACAGGGAATAAAAGAAATGGTGAATGGCTGCCGTGAGAAACTATCAGTAGTGCTGAACTTTGAAGCTTACATAACATACAGTACTCCATGTCCAGCAGCACCAAACCACATGTTGACGATGAGGACGACCTCGATGATCTCGACGGTCAGAAGTCGACCATGTTTTCGTTATCTAGATGCGCTCATAAAGGTCAGCAGATGTCCTGGATGAGTTTACTCCGTCCAAGGCTCCCGCGTCCAGTTTATCCCAACCATCGACGGCATCACCTGCTGTGAATGAACCAACCTCGTCCAAACGAAATACGTCTCCATCAAATGCCGACTTCGAAGCTGACTTTGCGAAATCGCTCGCTGAAGACATGGAGGATCTTTGGCGCGGTTTTGCACAGCAAGGAGTGAATGAAGGTTTGACCAATGAAGACGAGACTGCAGAACAACGAGAAGAGCGGGAGCGCATGCGAGCAGCGGCTTGGGAAGCCATGCTGATAGAAGGGATGGATGGTGCGATCGACCCATCGCTCACACAGGGAGCACCTATTGCCCCGAAAACTGGCGAAAATGACGACTTCCAATCACGCATCCGGAACACTATGAACAAGCTCAAGGAGAGCGAGTCAGGCTTGAAGTCATCGGATCCGAGTAGTTCTGCTACTAGTGCTGATTCACTCGAGGCGCTTCTATCTCAATTCGGAGACGATGATGAAGAAGAGATGCAGGGTGTCCTAGAAGCCATGATAGGCCAGCTTATGGGCAAGGACGTCCTGTACGAGCCCTTAAAAGAACTCTCGGACAAGGTAGGCCTGTTCTTGACATAGCGAAGCCTCTAACTTTCTCCCTTCGTCACATCTGCAGTTCCCGGACTACCTCAAGGCCAATGCAAGTACATTAACGTCCGATGATAAGTCACGCTACGATGCGCAGATTATCTGCATGAAGCAACTCCTCGAAATTTTTGAATCGAAAGATTACGCTGACAACGACGACAAGACGAGAATGAAAATCGTCGACCTCATGGGCGAGGTGCGTCAGCTCCAAGCCTACTAAACTCGACATACCATTGACATCGCCGGTACAATCACAGCTTCAAAAACATGGGTCTCCCCCAGAGGAAATCATGGGCCCTTTACCCCCTGCATTGAACATGGGCGCTGACGGTATGCCAAATATGCCTGATAACTGCGTTATCAGTTGAATGCATATCGGCCGAGGGGATGAATAACTTTAAGGGAATACCTGGGCGTGTAGGCTACATCAACATCGTATACTTATGGAAGCAACGTTCTGATTTTGGTTCATGTCAGTTCGATATCCGATGGACCCTTCGCCCTCTGATGCTACATTTATGGCTTAGCGACTTGGGGTTTGAATCATGCTCTAGAGTTCTTCGGGACGACTGGGAACTCGTTTATCACGCACATGATGAAGTCGGTGCCGAACGATGAACCGAAGGTATATCTGGAATTGTTGATGATCTTAGTTCACGCAAGGTTGTCCTACCTGGACCGCAAACTTACTCTTCGAACTATTTCCGATGTCTAGCTGTGGATGTGAAACATATCATATGTTGCCAACTCTTTCACGCGCTTTACCGACGGGCTCGTACTTAGTAGTGGCTGTCAGTGCGCATCAGCCCGAGGTGGATGTTAATTTCCGATCTGTGAGGCACTTCCAGATAGTATGATGACATTTCAATGTGTCTCCTCCCGCCAGTGCGTCATCGTCAACCTTTTCCGTGGTACTGTAGTTGGCGAAACTCCTTAGCTAGCTGAGGACTGAAATAGCAGTAATACATACGGCCATTTGATGCTGCTTTTCTTTGCGCCCATGTCTCCGAGCGTGATGCATCTGATGGTGGCTATAATCTGTAACTTGAGAAACTCCTTCGATACTATAGGACCGGGCATTTCGGTCTCTCCCTATTAGTGTCGCTCATCGGGATCAAAAGTGCTGATGGATGATGGCGTGATTGAACAAAGTCAGAAGTTTTCTCGATATTCGTCGCGCCCATGTATCATATAATTACATATTCTACTCTAGTTGCGAATCATTTAAACTTTTTTCGCAGCTGACAGATATAATACTAAGAACCCTTGAAACCCACAGCAACAAATCGCGAGCAATCCCTGATTACGCAGTAATCAGAGGTAAGTGAACAAGAAGTTTAAGAAAAAAGGGACTCGAGACTATCAAGCGTATCCGAACGATTCAACGTGCAGCGTCACGCTCGGTCCACCACTGAGGATACTAGAAGGCCCAGAGACCGGGAACCGAAGCGCATGACGGACCGCACGCGCTATACCCTGCGATCCGCAAACTAATCTCGCACCCGTAAGTTGTTCGTTCTTGGAGGTCGGGGTAATAAGTACTTACCGCCCACCGACATCCTCCCCGAGGTGACATCGACCTCTTCTTTGAGCAGTGTATCTAGATCCGCCCTTCCATTTTCCGTCCTAACGCCGCGCAGCGACAAGAATGACAGTGATAAGGAATTTTTCCTAACTACCGTGCGTTCAGGGATCGCTTTTCTTCTCAGTCGAACTTGAAATGCTGGAATCGTCTTCCCTGGACGTGTTGGATGAAGATGCGGTGATAAAGATACGGATAGAGATTGCCAGGGAAGGCGGAGCAAGTTGAACAGCATTGATAAGTGCTTCTTCGATCCATTGGACATACTCTATGATGCATGACGTTAATAACCTTAAATAAGAAGCTGCGGATTGTTGAGAATACACGCACCAGCCCCACGAATGGACCAAATGAATACCACGCGTGTGCAAGAGCTTTTCCCTTTGCGTACGCGTCTATAAGAAGGATCAAGATCAATCATCAATGACAACAATCAAAATGAGCGCGCATACTCGATGATGTTAAGGAAGACCGGGAGGGTGTACGAGACACCAGACCCGCCTGAATTTGATCACTACCATGTGATTACGAGACAATACACAACTCACCTGCCACCAATACACAGGTATCGTATGAACCAAGGTCAGGAGATGGCCCGTAAGGACCATCTACAAAAACTTTGATAGCTTCCTTCTTGGCAGCTACTTCCTTGAGCTTTTTCGTGAAACCTCCCTGCACGTTGACCAAAAATACCAGCTCCTTCCAGAACGGAGCGCTAGATCCTGTGACCTCAGCGCTGGATTGATCCTCCGCTGATGGAGTTGACAGCAGACTAGAATCAAAACTCGCAATAGTAAAGGGGTGCGCTTCGAATGGCAGTGTCGAAACCGAGGGCATTATTAGATACGCCGTTTGCCCTGGGGACCAATGGAAATGCTGGGGTCGACGTAGGCGCAATCGAACGACATTTTCGGAAAGCATTTCAGTCGCTGCGTCCATTGTCCCAGTTCCTGACTTGAACCCAAAGTAAGAGTGGTTGAATACAACGAGTCGAACCGCCCGGATGAAGCGATCGAAAGCCCAGAACACAAACGAGGGCCATATCCAATACGACCCGCTATTACCTGTAAGTCAGAAACCAAGCTGTCTGCATTCGTTTGCACTTACTGAGCACCTTTGGTGTGGTAATATCCTCCCATCAGAAATATGCTGCGTTTCGTCTGTCAATGACAATTACAAGCGAACAGACGTGGTGCACCCACAGGACGCCAAGGAAGTGAACATAAAAGAAGACCTCGTAGATGTTGCTGCGAACGGGACGCAGTGATACTATGATCAGAATAGAGAAAGCGACCATGGCAGTGACACCGGCGCGAAGGAATGGTTCGCTCAAACTCTCCTGAAAGCTTTCGATAATTTCCATCAGAAATGGCAAATATGAAATTGAAGATACATACTAGGGATCGGATACGATATGGCCAGCTCCATGTACCCAAAGTAGCATGAAGCACGTCCTAGCCGTCATTCGATGGATATAATTAAGCTTTGCGTTCATAAGTAGGTGCCACATGGACGGTAATTAAGTGTCATACCTTATCGTAACTGATGCCTGTGACCACTTATGCGAAAAATTCAGCGAAACATTGGATTAGCAGCGTGTCCACCTACGAGATACGGGATTATTCTTTGTGCCAAGAGCCGTGACGATGGGAAACTGACTGGACGCCAGCATTGCTATGCGGTTGCTCCAGTAGGTGATATCAAGCGTCTGACCCTCGACTGAGGTGGCTGCGTGATTCAGTGGTTAATGTGGTGTGACCGCCGCCCACAATCTTGCGTACTTACTATTAATGAAAGCATAGATCAACAGAAGGATGATGTATGCCACAGTGACAAAGACCTCTGCCATGTTCAGGGTATAGGATTGTCCTATTTCTAGGGTCCATCGAAAGGCAACGACGCGATAGAAATTTATGACAGCAAGCGGAATTCGACGAAGAGAAAATTTCTTATGAACGCCATTGGTGGTAGTCGTTTCTTCGTCGAACTCGTGGTGTCCCCGCCTGGCAAACTTGGAATGAAGGAACAACCCCCACTGGAAGCAGCCGATCACGAAGAGAAAAGCGGCGAGAGTATACCATACTTGTTCAGGGTACTTGGTATTTTCATCTCTGAACAAGGTCAGGTCAGCTTCAGAGAATGGAGAGCTGGACATCCCAAGTTGTGAAGAAAATGTGGGCTCCAACGGCTTGAAGGCCAAGAAAAGAGCAGACTAAATAGGAGGAACATATCAGTGCGGCTTGACAAATTGGAATATAGTGTGAGTTCACGAGGGAATGATGTTTCTGTATGCCGAAATCGATACTCATACGCCACGTACTACATACCACGTCTGGCCAAGAATGAAGGTTTGAAGGATGGCCAAGAGGGGATTGATCGCTCCATGCTGCCTTACTGAAAACCGGGTGAACGGGCTGCGGAAGCACTTCAGTAGATTAAGTGGGTAACCATCAAAAATCTTATCTGGCAAAGATGCAATTGCAAGGTACGAATGCTCGAAGACTTAAAACTGGAAAGTCGAAAACAGTGCGATAGTAAGTGCCGTGATTGCGCAGCTCGGGTTATTCGTCCAGCGTCCGCATGGTTTGGTACTTGCTCTATCGTGTTTGAGCACGCCAGTATTACACATTATGTCGTGTTCGTGTTCCTGTCTCCATCGGATGTATGAACGGGGAGATGGATCTACAATTTGAGCTTGTAGCTTGATTCTCGACCGCTCATCGAGCGCTCTCCGCAACCTCAACCGTATGATCATTTAATATTGCTTAGTTTACGTCTGAACGCTGCGAACGCATGGATGCAAAGGCAACGCCTCGCGGGCCAATTCCGTATTTGTTGAATTATTGACTCATTACCGTGACAGCCCTGACATATTCCGTACTGGATTCGCGGGTTCACAAGGTGTCCAAGCTGCGGATTCTAGATTACCGATGATATGGCGGATATGAAAGTCAAAGTCAGAAAGTTCCGTGAGGGTGAATAATCGGACTCACCCGTGTGTGACAATGGACGAAGACTTTTCGAGTCGTGGATAAGCTTTTCACCGCCAACGGCCTCTCACTGCAAACTCAGTCACTGGGTTCTGATATTGTCGTCTCCATGATGGTCACCGTTGATTTGATTAAGATTTGATGGCACGTTGACGAGGAATGTGTGATTCGAATAAGCGTATTGAATGGACCATCGTGTACGCTGAAGTTCCCGATATAATGGATTAACTCAGTTTATTTGACATAAGCGATGAGAGAATTTCTACAACCGAAAATATTATGTAAGACACGGTCACTATCGCAATAAAATCTGGGCGCTAATCCATCTTCAAGCTCTTCACATCCTTCCTCAATTTGAAGCTGTCGACTACTCCTCGCTGTCCTCTTTCCTCTTCCACTCATCCTCTCTTTTCTCCCCTGCTTCTCCCCTTTCTTCTTTATCTTGTCTCTGCCTCTCCTTCTTAAAAGCATCACTCTTCCAAAAATTCAACCATTGCCGTGATTCGCGCCATGATAAGCATACTGGGCAAGAGCTCTCACCCGAGCTTGCTTCATGGGACCACGTCTCTATCCTGCCAACTCCCCATCTTTCTGATCAGCCCTTTGTCCTGCCTGTCACTCCCATCGTGATCTCCAACCCTTTACCTCAGCGAAGAGCACAACTGCGAGAGTTTTCAAGAGGTTCGTTCAAGATTTTCTATCTTACTGCTTCATCTGTGCTGACGTTGTCGATGTACTGAGTTATCGCGCGCCATAATGAGTATACTGGGTATGCAGAGTGCTTCGTTCCAGTAGCTGCTTTTCACGGGAAAGACATGTTCTCCAGTATAAGCGACTACTGGAACGAAGATGGAAAGCAGAATCCTTCAAGTCGTTCGACCACTCGTGTCTCACTCCCCACGACAGGAACAGCACTTACATCATAGTTTATCGCACTTTATTTCGTACTGTTCCAAAAAAAATTTGCGAAGTAAATTTTTATTTAGTAGGGTTACTGTGTTCCTTATGAATGTTCGTCTGGGAATACACGATTCGCACGGATCAGGATGTAACATGCTGCGGGAGGCGTACCATCATTACAGAAAAGAAAGTTTCAAAGTACAAAACTGGACACGAAGGCGTACACGGCCGTGGGTACAGGTGAGAAGATTTCTGCTGTTCAGAATATAACGCGTAACATTGTGGCAATTCACCATCAATCGAAGAAGATACCGCCATCGATCATTATCTGTCAGTGAACCATCAGATTGCGTCCCTCGGTACGAGTGAGAATTATGCTTACTGTTTGGCCTGCGAAACAGCGCATTACATCCATCAGTTGCTGATCTTATAAAACCCGGCCATGTACGATATACACACCTGTGATGAAACGTGCTTCTGGGGTCACCAGAAATGAAACCAGGTTCGCAACATCCTGGGTAGTTCCGAGGTCGCCTACGGCTGACAACCGTTTGAACTTAAAGCAAGAAAAAAATGTTGAAATTAGTATCTCATGCACATTGGCAAAAAGGTCACCTCATCATAAACGTCGTTATAATCAGCTGATCCAGCCAACTTAGCAACTACACGAGGCAAAGTTTACCACCATATATTAACGCACAGATAATGAAACTTACGCATTGGTGTTTGAATTGTTCCTGGCGCATATGCGTTCACTGTGATTCCGTTGCGACCAAGTTCGATGGCTTACGGAGAATGTTACTGAGGTCGAGCGCTTATAAGACTAAAGTATACCCATACCTGCGGTTTGCGTCAACCCTCGGATAGCAAACTTAGACGCACTGTAAGCGCTAAGTGCGGCATGCCCTGAAAAGATACGTCATCATACAAGAAGAAACAGCTGCATATATAGACCTGCCTTTCTTTCCCGCAAGGGAGCTCGCACCGATAATTCGCCCGCCCTCACCTTGAGCTACCATCTGCTGCGCTGCATATTTATAGCTGTAGAAGGTGCCTGTGACGTTGACGGAAAGCACAGACTCGAAATCCTCAGAAGTCACTGCGGAAAGCTTTCATCAAGCTCTGGCGTTACGTCGACTATAACGCCTTACTTTCTAAAAGTGGTTTCGTTTTGATGATGCCCGCATTTGCAACAAACTATGAATAAGATGAGTTTGGCAAGTCTATTGGCAATTGAACCAGTTGTAAACAACTCACAACATTCAAGCGGCCAAATTCTTTGACTGCACTTTCGACCAAGCCCTTGACATCCTCCTCGATACTGACATTCCCAAACACAATCAACACTCGGCGCTCCGGGAAATCGGTAGCGATGTCCTTCTTGACTTCCTCCAAATTTTCTTTGTTGCTTTCCAAGTCGTTGATCACGACGTCGTAGCCATCCCCTGCAAGGCGTATTGCGATGCTCCGCCCAATTCCTTGCGCAGATCCAGTGACGACTGCGACACCTTTGGAGTTGGATTGTGTGGACGTCATATTCTTTGACCTGGGATATGGGGAAACGCTGATTTCTTGCTATCATCTCATGGGACACAGGTCCTTTTCTATCAAACACTCATCTAATGCCGACGTCTTGATTTGTTCAGAATATGGATGCGGCCAGCCACCTGACTATAAGCTTCTAACCTTGTTTTTTTTTTTGCACTGCACCAGAAGCTTCACGAAGGTGCCTAGTCCTCTTTCTGGACATTGTTCACGTTACCATTCCACGACAACATCGCATCTAGAGCTGAGCTGTGCTAGGGATTCATCTCGTTCTGTTATTCTCCCCGTCATCACCATTGTCTTGCGGTCTGGTGAGGCCGAAACGAATTCATCTTGTGATGGATGAAGAGCTTATGACGTTACTTGCCAGAGTAATATTGCCCGGAATAATAAACAATATGGCAGCGGAGCACACGGAGCCAGTCCTGGCTTCCTTTTGACCTCAGGCCTGCCTTAACATTCCGAGCTTAGATTGTTCCATTCCTGACCTTAATCCTTCCTTTTTCAAGACAGTACAAATCCCGGGACTCAAAATAAATGAGGTACGTGTTGGCAGAGTAGTCGAGATTTCAATCACCACTCACCAAGTATATTTTCTAGTCATTTAAAAGGAATAGCTTGTTAATTGTTATCCGACTTTGCCGGCCCACAGCTCACCAAGTATATTTTTAGGAAAGCTTGTTATTGTTATCTGACTTTGTCGGACCACTGCTCATCAAGTATATTTTCTAGTCGTTTATAAGCATTAGCCTGTCACTCGACTCTGTTGGACCTTCTTTACGTCCCTGTGACTCGGATACTCGGTACCTGCACAATCTGTTCTGCCTCTACTCGCTCATTAACACTACTTCCTTTCTCGACAACTCCCGGTCTAGAAAGTCCCTTCCTGGTCCACGTTTCCCTCGGATTTTTAAGTTCGTCTATCTAGGGAACTTAGTCTTGACAGATGATTGATGAGAAACTCGATGCGGCTAGCCCTTGACCGGTAACCCCATGGCCGACTGTATCCCATAGCAGAACTGTATCCTAGTGTCGAACTGGATCATCTACTGCAGCACTCCATGCCCTGCAAATCCTGCATACAAAATCAGTACACCTACACCTTGTTCTCGTCGGACTTTAAGACGCTCACAGTATCTCGAACATCTCAGGATCGAGCCATGACTCAAAAACGACCTCAGTACTGAGAGAAAAGACCAGTACGACATCACGGTTAGAGACGAAAAGGAGGTGTCCGGCAGACTTTCGCTATTAACAAGCAAGCGCGCGCGCACAATAAGTCTCAGTTCCTCTACACTGCATTCTGAGCTTCACGAAGGTGCCTGTCGCCCTTTCCCAAGTTTAGAGAGAATGCACAAGGCGTCTCTATTGGACTTTTATTTGGGCTCTGATGATACCTTTATCGACGTCAACGAACTTCAGGCTTAGAGAGCGATGAATCGACAATATACACAACGAAATAGGCTCGTAGTCTCTCGGTTCCGGGAAATGACTCCTATGCGCCGGTCGGCCGCCGATCCGTAATATGTACCCATTGCAATTGAAGTGTCTGCTCTCTTGCAATTGCGTGCCACCATTCTAAGCCTCATTTAGTTACTAACCTTGTCCGACAGCAACTTTACGTTGATTTCGTTGTTCTATAGGTCGCATTATTCCCACTGCCTTATCAAGGAAGTGCACGGAAATCACTTCCCGAATAGGTGAGCGTTTATTGTGACTTGAGCTTGATTCTACCGCAGACAACGACACCTTTCTGTTATCGGGGACTGGTGATGCGGCCGAGCGCCATTACGGCCTTGTAGTGCTAAATCTTCTAGTTTCCCGCCAAATATGCAGAGTCAGACTTTCCTTTTGGAATTGCTTTACAAGTAGCAAAGTCACCCAAAGTTTGGGCCAGGTTGCTGTCGACATGCGATTCGATTGGTGTTTGCAGCACAGTGACGTCTCCCTCGGACCCTCGCCACTCCGAGTCCACGTCGATTCCCCTTGACGCTACAGATATCGAATCGCCAAGAAAACATTCGTGCGCTGGATATTGTTTGATAAGGTCATATTAAAAGTGTACTATCTGAGTGCAGCGCTGGCACAGACTATCTGGGTTTATCATTCGCCTCATGAATTGAGTCGATCATTGGCGCTGAGCGTTTGAACGAGCCGTGCCACGTAAGCAGGCCCATGTACTTATCAAGCCATCCTTGACCATTTCATGGACACGAAACGTTTATAATTAGTGATCTCAGCTAATGGATGCAAAACCAAGGTTAAGTTTTCCATTGTCGTTGTGATGGCACTAATTACCGGAGCTTTGATTCAGTAACTCCTTCAAGTTAGCCTGCTAGTACATATCGTATGCTCCTTGGTTTGGAAGAGAAGATAAGGGAATTGACATTTGATTTCCAACTCTCAAAGTAGTTCATCGATACATTCAGGGGAAATGTACGGAAGACGCCACAATTAGCAGATGCAGATGCTGAGTGTGACAAGATCATTCTTGCTTGCCTATCAACGTTTTATGCGGCTCCCAACGAAGACATCCAAGTCGGCGCCCAGTTCTAGTCTTCGTCCACGGTGACAACTAACAAAGTATGTGTCGAACATGGCGAACTTTGATCACTTCTGAGAGCATTTTAAGCAAACCGCGCGGAACACCTTCTGGTTAAAACACGACCCACCTTTGATATCGATGTTGCTTCCGGGCTTGGTCTCACCCTCAGTCTCATGGCATCTCCATCTTGAACAATAGCCGACGTCAGAACAAGGTGCGGCCAAAAGACATGACAAACTCTCGGGTGGAAGTTCCATGCGCCGATGGATGAGATTGACGTGGGACGTCATTTCGAAGTCGTAAGCCTGCACTGACAGAGAAATAGGACGGGTTGCGTCAAGTGCGGATGTTTAACTAGGTATGTATGCGCACTGAGATATTGTTGCTGCGAATGGATGTGCCTCATCAGTCGGCGGGATCAATTATGAAAAGTTCTTAACATTGGGAGACACTTCTTTCCTATCAGGATGGACCGGGAGCGTTGGACCGTGGATATATGACATGAATTAGTCATTGATGCGTGCCGCTCGCCGTGTTAACACATCCAATACAACACTTGGTCTGAATCATATAGTCCAGTCAAATGCGTCATTCACGTCATTCCGAGCACCCTTGCACAGCAACGGTTTGCTCAGAATGAGGGAAATGGTCATCCACTGTACGTGAGTTGGGAAGAAAAGCTGGAATGAAATCCATCCTTCAAATGGATGCCAAGCACAAGGACGAGGAACAAACCTCAAGTAGCACAGCATCTGAAAGATCAAGGGTTCAGAATGGCTGCAACGGGACTCACGATGTGGCCTATGTTGAGAACAAACGTGGGTAGTAGATTTCACACCGACACGTCCAATATCGATACGATCAAGTAAATTGTCTCATACCACTTGTAAAACATACCGAATGACAATAGAGCCTTCCCTTACTACGAGTACGAGGGATCGCACACACCGTGGGCCACAATAAAATTTCCAGCGCATCGTCCACGCGAAAGTGTCCGTGAGCCTTGGTGCCTCGTCGCGTATTGTCCTCAAACCCACGATTCAATTTCATGAAGCCGGCTGGATAGAACGTATCATGACAAATATGCTCAAGTTGTGAAAGGTCATCTAGATAGATGAGGTGCAAGGAAGAGAGGATGAAGCGTAGCTTAGGAAAGCGATGATTTTACGCCATCGATGGTGGTAGAAAGACGAAGAAGGGAGATGCGGAGATAACATGAGTCGGGAGATGACGGGAAGAGCGGTCACACGACTTGCCACAATGTGACAACGCCTGTCTATTGCAGCTGATGAATTCTAAACCGCGGCAGGGTCTTGCAGGGTTGCGTGATGCACCTGCGATGAACGGACTATGAAACTCGTTGTAAAGCATCGTCTAGATTCTGAAGAAGGAACAGCTCAGCGCTAGCACGATGACGAATGCCTGGACACGATGGTATTAAGTACTGGAAGGCTTAGTCAGCGGAAGTGTAAGATGTCCAATCCCCTATTGATAAATCAAGACCTGGCTTCATTAGGCCTTCATCGGAAGAACTAGTTGCGCCCGGTTCACTCCAACTGAATCTAACATCTTCTCTCACAAACCACCATGTCCACACAAGCTGCAGCACCTTCTTCGCTACCTCTCGTGGCTTCGAAACCCAAGAAGCAACCCTACCCCTTCTACCTCGGTGGTGTTGCAGCAACAATTGCTGCTTCCATCACCCACCCCCTTGACCTTACCAAGGTCCGCCTTCAAGCGTCGGGTGACAAGGGTATGGTAGATTCCATAAAGAAGACCGTCCGCACTGCCGGCGTTCGGGGGCTCTTCGATGGTATCACTGGAACATGGATGCGCCAGATGAGCTACAGCTTGTGTCGCTTTTGGGCATACGATGAGAGTAAGAGGATCTTGGGAGCTACACCCCAGAGCCCTGCATGGGTTCTCGCCACAGCAGGTGTCATGGGTGAGTACGAAATCCTATGTCGTACGATCGATAATACTGAGATCCGAGTTAGCTGGCTCCATCGCAGGTGTCGTTGGTAACCCTGGCGGTAAGTCTCGATGACATATGTTGTGACCCCATGCGCTGAGCAGCGATTTCGCCTGATTAGAGGTCGTCATGGTGCGTGTCTTGCTCTATCGCTTTTGCCTCGTGCTCACAATATGCCTTCCATTACGTGATTTTCAATTTCGCCATCGAACCATGATTTCCGCTCCCGCCCGGAACGTCTTCGCCCCCTCTGATCCAAATCGCACCATATTTATCAGGTCCGTCTGCAAGGAGACTTCGCGAAACCACCCGAAAAGCGGTTTAATTATAAGCACTGCTTTGACGCATTGTTCAGAGTAAGTGTTGATCTAGACGTGTCCCGCGTGGTTCCGTGCTCCGTGTTTCTTTATTTTGGTCGTCAGTCTTCCTAGTGTCGACTTTGTCTCAAGGACAGTATTATCGGGGGGCGTGAATCAAATGCAGAAAGCCATACGGATCCTTTGAAACTGGCCGCGTAGCAGCGATGGGAGAACAGGAACGCGAAAGAGTGTATTATTCCTCGCTTGCTCATGCTTTATACTCCCATGCGCCGCTCTATCTCCTATCTTGCCTATTCCGCCATTTTCGTCAACCTTGTGATATTATTAGCTGTGCCGAGCATTCACCCGTGCTCGGACGGTTCTGACCCACACGCGACGACTCTGCGCCATGGTATACGGAAAGCGTGCTATCATTAATAGCCAGGTCACAATGCATTACGGATGGACAGATGGATTAATGCGTTCATATGACATCAATTTGCCGATCACTCAAAGGAGATCAGCGGATGCCAATAGTAGTCTACTTCTTTCTTCTCCTTACCTTTTCGTATCCACTTTCAGTCATTTCCCAACTGTTTTGGACTGTCTCTGATATCCAATCTTGTTTATTCCGAGGCCGAGGTGCTGACGTCATTATTGCAGATGGTCCGCGAGGAGGGCCCATCATCGCTATTGCGAGGTGTGGGTCCAAATGTCTTTCGGAGTATCTTGATGAACTCCAGTCAGCTGGCTTCGTAAGTTGCCCTTCTCACCTTCTCATCCGTGTCACATGTCTAACCCACATTCAGGTACGACTTCTTCAAGGCTGAGCTCCTGAAGACAAAGTACTTCGATGACAACATTGGTTGTCATTTCACAGCCAGTTTTGCAGCAGTACGTTTTAGTTCTTCTCATTTCCTATATTCTTATCTCAAACTCTCTTTCAGGGAACGGTTGCAACAACTGTTTGCTCACCCGCAGACGTGCTAAAGAGCCGTATCATGAATGCTTCTGGGCCCGGATCCAGTGTGAGTCTCGTTTTGTGCAATTAATCGGCCTCGCGTGACACTGAGACACTTAAAGTCGACGATTGGAGTGATCCGGTCCTCTCTAGCAACCGAAGGCCCAATGTTCATGTTTAAAGGCTGGCTCCCCGCATGGTCGCGTCTCCAGCCCACCACAATCCTGATTTTCTTAACTCTCGAGCAACTGAAACAACTCGTCGACTGGAAGCGCGGATCGTTGTAATATGATCGCGGTTCATCCCTTTTGAATGATCAAAATATTTGAATGTGGATTTGAATTTGATGCTTGGATGGACCATGTGTGCGATACCACGCATAGATTTATCCCGGAGATATCACCGAGTGGAAGTACTGTTAGTTGTTGATCTTTGATTTCTAGGCGCTCGCTAGATTATATCGTTGCGCCACGCTGTGGTTTTGTATTTTACTTTACTTGCATAACGCGCTTCTGTGCTGTTAGAAAATTGGGTCGTATTTTGTGAGCGTGTTATTGGGGATGGTGTTTGATTGTCGTTATTGTAGCGCAACCTACCCGCTAATGTGATGATAAGAATTCGCTCACCAGTCGCATTATAACGTGAGGTAGAGGTCGGAGGCCTCTATCGATCTGACAAATTACTCGTGTCAGAGGGGACAGGGAGGATGGTGAAAACGAACTGCGATACCGGACCAGGAGAAAGATTAGTAAAAGGGTATCGATCGATCTCGAATTTTGAGCAACCCACATTGTAATCATTCTCGCACTTGTCAAGCCACAACAAGGTTCTTATTATCCACACGTCCAAACATTCGATTTGATCCGTGGACACTGCCTTATTTTCATAGCCTGTGAATCCACTCAGGGGTCGATACGTAGATCAAGCGGATTTTCATGCCCATGTCAACGCCAATCCTCTATTATATGAACTGTCACCATCCTCTCGCGTAGCGTAACCCTGCATCGAGTTACTCACTTTTTTCGCGTTCTCCTGGCCACGGATGTGTACACCAGGAACGCTTTAGTACTACTACCGACCCTGCCTGATCATTGGCGAAGCAATAGCCAACGGACGTTGTTCGGTCCCTCGGCGATCCGGGGTTGGCATCGATATCTCCCAGGAATGTCTGGGAATACGCTCGTACTTGCTGTGGGAAAGGGAATGGTCTTAGCGGTAGTGCAGTTCTTCAAGAAGCTTAAGCTATCCATCGATTCAGGGGTATGGATCGGCGGCCCGTGATAGATAAGGTCTAGGAGTTGGTGAAGGCGAGTAGTATGAGCCGCGTTTGCATGAATAGCGTTTGTTTGAAGGAGTCTCCCCTGAGACTAGTCTGTCTATGAAGCGAGCTTGTCAGTGGTCTAGTCCCATCTAGACCAATAGCAGGAAGACAGCCGTGGAATCCTTTCATTGATCTATTAGATCAGCCTCGTTCACCCGAGTGATAGATGTCACATTCAAGAACGAACTGCTGAACGACTGTCAAGCTTCAACGTTTCAACTTGAAGTACACTTGTGGCGTTATGCATATGCGTTATCACCTAACGCAAAATGACTCAGATATGCACCATGACCGAAGTTGAAACGAAACTAAACTGCATGTTAGACAGTACAGATCAAGAGCAAATTTCAAAGGCGTTGTGGCTGACTAAGCTACACAAACCTATATTACCTACCGTACCAAAAACATATTGGTTCTCGAAATCAGAACCAATGAGCACTCCTGAATTGCAGGAAAGGAAATGATACAGGTTTGCCCACCGATTAATGGTTGATAGGCGCCATTTTTGCGATAGTGGATACAACTTGAACGTCACTGGTAGCCAAATGAAATGAAAAACGTATGCGGGTAGATAGGCTACAGTATATCAAATGCGGGGTACATGATACAAATGGAAGAAACTTGAAATGCGAATTACTCATACAGATTCATGCGAGCATTTTTGAAAATGTCCACATCGCTAAAGTGAAGAATGAACACCACAACGTGGCGGCAGAGCCCACCTGCATGCGCTCTCGTGCACTATTTACCTGTCCAGCTTGGTTGCTCCCGCCTAAACCATGAGCAGATCCAGGAAAAGAAGATGCCATAGGAATCCCCCCAATTCCAGTGCTCAATGGAGAAGAAAGGGAAGATGGCGGCAACATTTTCGTTCCTGCAGGAGAATGATAAGACGCACCAATATCAGAAGATGTTAACTAACCAGGAAGATCATTCTGTTCCGCAGATGCTGCTGAAACAGCATCCTCTAAACGTTGACCGGCATCAGAAGGAACAGTAGACAGGAACCCGATCCGTGGAGGGTCTTGCGAAAGTCCTGTAAAAGAACCATAATAGAACGCTGCGAGCACTCTAGCAAGAAATGAGCGGTCTGGAACAACAAACCCAAAGGACAACCGAAGGAGTTAGAAACCAAAAAACGGTGAGCCGCAGCTCCCGCTTGTAATACGCGAGGAGCTCCGCATGGATCCGTCCTCTCTATCTCCACAGCTGCAGACAAATACATATATGACGGTCACTCACCCTTTCAGAAACGGATCTCCTAAACTCCAGCTGTACAGGTATCCACCCCCACCGAGAACAGGCACATCAGTCTGCGCAAGATTCGCCCCGCACACCTGTGCGTCTCCGGAATGCACTTGATTCACGAAGTCTCTTGGGTCGACGGGGAACATGCGACCACCAATCTGGAATGCCAGTGTATGAGGAGATGAACAGGCAAAGTGAGGTCCCCCTAGCATGTTCTGGATATACGAAATGACGTCAGGCGGACCTCGAATCAAAGAATTGCCCTGCAAAGAGATGTTAGAAACGTAAACCCGGTACGAGTCAGTGGACGAACTGTGTCAATCAGCGCTGACAATGAGATATTACTAGAACACAACTGCGACCGAGGAAGTTTCACGCCGTCAAGAAAGACATCATCTACCGGAATCTCCCAAGCAATAGGATACGCCTTTCGCGGACGGATTAAATGCTTGATGTACAACACTCCAAGGTGGAACGTACCTCAACAGAAGCATCCTGTGTCAAGCCGCCTTGTTGAAGCGCATATTGACGCACGGGAACCCACGTCAGGCTCTCGTTTTGAACCCCAGATGGCAGTCCACCTATAGAAAGCATGCCTTCGTTCCCTCCAATCTCGATCGTATCTCGCTGCAGAGCAATCGCGAACATGGGCGACGCAAGCCCTCCGAGCGAAACAAGGCGAGGGATGAATGGACCGGATACTCCAAAAGAAGAAATAATCGCAGACGACGAGGTCGTCACCTGACGTTTCAGCTGAGGCATAGACTGGTAAGAGGGAGGATCGACATGTCGAAACGAGGAAATTCCAAGGACAGACTTGTCAAACCAGCGCTTCCGCATGGCATCTATACGCGAAACTACATCACGACGAAGACTTCGCGATCTCGAAACCTGTTGTTGGTTCAGGAACATATCAGTCCAGATCACGCTCCACAGACAATCAGTACGGCACATTTGTCTCAGGTAATCACTCACCTGTTGAGAGGAAACCCAAGTCCAAAGATCCCAGAGCACCGAGTCTGAGCCACAGACGTATTCGTATCGTTGATAGCCGCGAAATACTGATCCTGCAACGTAAGACCCGCCAATGACACAGCGTCATACCCAATCATCCCTCTCGCATACGTCCCAGTCTTCGAATCGCCGTACACAAGGGCAGCATCCAGGCCTATACCATGGAACGTGTTCGGTGGGTAAAGAGCCGTATCTGCTGAGGAGCATGTTCCCTGGCATACATTGGACAGGACCCACAAATCCGAGGAACCCGTGTCTTGTGTGCTCCTCAGCCTCAGATGCAGTGCTCCTGCTGTAAGACTGAAGGCTCACCTAGGACGACAGGCAAGGATGTGCCGCCGATGTCTATGAGGACACTGTACGTTCTTGTGGAGCGTCAGTCAAGAAGAAGAGTTCTCACATGTACAGACTCACACGTCGAAGAAATCGCCAAGTCCCGCTGCGCCGGTATCCGCGCCGAGTGTGATCCGTTTAGGAATAAGCCTCCGGCTCAAGGGCAGGTGCAAACCGCCCTGTATTCGCTTCCCAACATCCGCTCGAGAATAACTGGAATTCCTCGAAGCGAGTTCGGTGGCGGCGGAGTACGAGAGAATGAACGCTACAAGAATGGACCGTACGCGTTTGTGCATCCCCGAGGCACGGATCACCGAGTCGGCAGCAGCTAGTTGGCTACAGCGGATTTCAGCCAAGAATTCAGATTGGGGGAATATGTTGAAAGTGAGTGTCGACAATTGTTTCGAGTGATCATTATTCAGCACGTGATCGCGTCTCTTTCAAGCAACAAATGTATCATATTTCGCGAAAGCCTGGCGTCATACAACGAAGTAATAATGGGAATACAGTAATAGAAAAGCCTGCAATAAATCATACAGCTCGACTGCATATTAAGTGCACGCGACCGTTTCAAGGGGACGCGATCAGATTATTATTACCCCCATTCATGTGCCCGTACAACGGTTCATGTGGTTCAGCAAGACTCTGGCCCATATTGAAATCAGACGCGCCAGAGAAAAGGGCCGCAACATCCACCGATCCGTCCCCGAACATATTCATCATATCTGCCGGTGACGACAAATACATCCCCGCAGACGCGTCCATGCCCATGCTACCTGTGTCCATAAAACTCGGCGCTGAAAGCGATAACCGCCGTGAATATTGTGATGATGAGGGCATAGGTCCAGGTGAAAAGGCGCTCTGCGGTATGGTTTGCGGGCTCGTGGCTCCAAGAACAGGGTCAACGAAAAACTCGGAGGGCGAGAAAGCCTCGGGACTGCTATGTTGTGATCCACCGTCACTGCCTGCACCCTTGGCAGCCACGCTGGGAGTTTTCTTGCGGATAGGTCTGATCCAGGGAGGCCGCGAACTTGGCTGTTCCTGACCTTCTGGGCGAGAGGGCTCCAGAGGAATTTGTGTCACTTTAGTCACATGCACGAATCAGCCGAGAAGATCACTAATGTCAGGAGGAAAAAAACTCACAACGACAAAATTCTTCCATCAGATCTCCTGATCTTTGTCCACACACGTATCGCCCACTGAATCGCCTTAATAACCCAACACATGATCGTAGCGCGTCAATCGCCGGCTGAATCAAGTATTGGAGTTTCTCTGTCTTGCAATTAATCAATATGGTGATAAGCGTTCTTCCGGCTTGTGTGAGCTGGTGTATCACATGCACACCATCTGACACGAATGATCAACCAATGCAAGACAAGATCTATAATGAGAACACTTACAATACGTCATCAGACCCTTCCCTGCTACCTGCATGTGCGACGAGATAATCTGCAGCGCACATGACTGGGCCGCACTCATCTCCTCCTTCTCCATATCCGCGGGATCCTCTTCCATCAGCGCATTGTATGCTCTCTCCGCCACAAAATTTGAGAAGCGATGTCGATGGATCAACATTCTGACATACTGCTCAGCACAGTGCAAACGCACGGCCTGGGTGACCCTGATCACATCATCACTCGCTAATGTTGCCGACGTGTGCGCCCAGTACGGGGGTATTGATCGGCGGATTTCGTCTAGCAATGCTTCCTCTTCGCGCAGGTCTTTTGGACGTACGTGGCCAGACAATACGCCTGCAGCGCGTAGCAAGAATGGAGAAGTGTCACCCGTGCGGTCGCGTGGAGGCGGTATGTCCAACACCGACTCCATTACGACCATGATCCTCACAGCGGCGATAAACGCACTCATACGGCTCTCGGTTCCTGCGGGTTGTGGGAGCATCCCATCATGTGTGATGAACTCGTCATCTACAACAGCAGGCTCTCCAATGTCTGTGTCCCGAAGGCGAATCATCGGGGGTCTGCCAAAGTGGGCAGATAGCTGTTTGTCCCATAGGTATACGCACCAGAATGTGCGCTTGCGGACTTCGTCCTCGATGGGATTAAAGAGGTCATAGGTGTCGGCCGATCGATGGAGGCCAGTATCTATCGACACGGTGATAGCCTCTGATAAGAGTGCTGCTGCTTTTGAAAGTTTTCCCAGACCAACAGCATAGACCGCGGCGATTAGATCGGCCTGGATAGTGTACAATGTGGGATGGTCCGCAATCGGAAGAGTACGTAGGCGTCCAAACAATTCGAACCATTGAGTGCCGGCAGATATCCCATCACTAGGATCTGATCGTACTCTCGGATCATCGATATGACGGGACGCGAGGCAGCATATAGCTACAATTAACGCTGCGAAACCGGGTTCGCCCCACTTTCTGGGATTTCCATAGTCCTGAAATTGTGGATCGTGTGAGTACGGGAAGTATACCATGTGAATGTCACACACCGCCAGAAATGTCGGAACATGTAGGAATGGCAGCAGGTAGTAAGAAGTACACAAAAAGCATTGGACTAGACTGATGATTATAAGATTAGCCCAAGCGAGATTAAAAAGAAAAAATAGAAAATCTACCTGTCCATAAGCTCTGGAACTATGTATGATGTGATAAGGCGCCACAATGTTTCAGGATTGACGTCTGTGCGTCTAGGCGTCCTATTCGGAAACCAAGTCGGGTTGGCAGTATGAGGGGATGGATTTGCCCATGCTGGATCTGGGGAACCTTTGTCCGTTTCGGACTTGACTTGGGTGTGATTTTCGACCAAAAGGTCTAAGAGAGGAAGGCCAGAAGTCTCTCCCTGCCAACGAGTGTAGCCTTCATCATCGAAGTACAGATAGGAGGCACATATAGACATGCGTGTAGTCTCTTCCGGTTGTTCGCAGTTTGATCCATTTGGGGTATGAGATGACTGCCCAAGCATGGAGGAAAATGCCGTGTTTGGACTTTGAGCTCGCGGAGAACTCATGGATGGAGATGCCCTGAAGTGGGTAGATGGATTGGTGAGTGGGAAAACGTGCAAAGATGGGGGTGGGACACCCGAAGGAAAGCTATGGTTTGCTGAGGCGAAAGACACCAAAGGGCTAGCAATGTTGTCTGAAGATAACAATTGGGAGGATGTGAGTGCAGATGCACCCGCACCTCCAGCAGCGAAAACAGCAGGAGGGATTGCCTGAATGAGAGTCTCGAGTTGATGCATTCTATCTTCTAGGGTCGCAGTTCTTCTACAAGTTGATGAGTATCTATTTCAGAACGATATGGATAGAGCACGAACTTTGATTTGTGAGGATGTGTTCGCTTTCCTGGTTCTTCGAATGTACAGGGCGAATTGGCGGTGAGACAAGCCTGACATGGATGACCCTCATCGCATTTGATTCTCCTTCGACTGAAGTATGGTCAGCGATGGCTGATCACAGATAAGATATGAAGTAGGCACTGACCGACAGCGATCACACGCTCTGAGAGATAGGCCGAGGTGAGTAAATCGGTATACTAGGAGACGAAGAGTACGACTGACCTACTCAGCTTGAAACGTCTCTCCTTGAGGATGGACGTTGAAGCCTTTTCTTGCTCCTCCTGAGCTGGGGACATGATTTTTTTGGATGAGGATTGAAAAGAGAATTGAATGGGTTGGCAGTCTGTAATAAGTATCAGAGCAAGTGCAACGGACTTTGTCTGGCAGGAGCGGCCCAATATTAATGATCCTTCCCATGGCCGGCCCGCATCGGCAGCTAACTGTAGCTACTACATCGGGAAATTATGGTCTGTTCCCCCGGTCTGTTCCTGGGTATTGGAGTGGTTGCCCAATCACTTTTGTACATTTGTTGTTCGTCCGGACCGAGTAGTGTCAGGACTCGATGCTTCTACAGATCGCATCATGAAGTGAAGATCGACATCATTCATCCTATAGGTGCAAGGTTCAATCTTTTTGTTTACTACCACTAAAATTTTACACAGCTAATTGAAAAGGCCACATGTAGCTACACTGCATGAAAATTTGCGTATGACAAGTCTGAGGCACCCGTACTTTGTGCAACTCAGCGCTAGCTACTGGATAACTCCGCGGACATTGGTTCTGGGCAGGTGCTGTCAAAGGTGTGTAAGATGCTACCTTCCTGTTCAGAGTTTTACCCCCTGACGCGAGTAGGTCTGAGAGGTAAGAACGGACGCTATAATGGTGCCCGATCTGAACTTTGTGTCAGGGTCGTATAAGTCGAGTCATCAGGTCAGTTATTATAAAGTTCTTTCATAACATTACGTTGGTGAACCATCATCGTTAACGTTGATTGGCTGATACAGCTTCATTCTTGACCCGTCACGCCAAAGACGCTCAATAAATGTTCTTCTGAACCTGAACCATTAACACATCCTCGACAGCCCCTCGACGTGTCGTTTAACGTAAATCTGGGGTGGATGGTTACAAAAAAATTAACGCTAACGACATCAGGTTGAAAATAAACCCATGAACAGCGCGGTATCTCAACAGTGAACCGATTCATCACCATTTCATCCAACACCAAAACACACCCGGATAATGGCCCGAATCACACGCATCCTCAATCCATAGCATCTAGAGGCAAGGCAAGTCGTTGCAACGTTACATTTATGGGCGCCACGAGCTTTCAATGCCGTTAAAAGCAAAACACGAGGTAGCAGTAAAGGGTTAATTGAAGTGATGGACACGTCAAGCTGATGTATGGCCCGATTTCTCCTAACAAAGCATAGCTATTGTAGCCAAAAAGGCTCACAACTTCACGCCGTGAAGGTCACCATCCTGCCACCGTCATAAATTTTGACTTTCTCCACCCATCGGTCGAAAATTCCCGGGCCTATGCGCTGGGAGGACGCTTTCGATCTGCAACCCCCTCTTGAAGACAGGACAGCCTTGAATTCATACGGCCTGATAATCTGGGATTTAGTCGGCCTTCTCAATAATGCATTGTTGCCAAATAGTCTATCAGTCTCCAGTAACCCTGATATCAGACGCGGAGTCCCTATTTAGCTTCGCGCGCCGCTTGTTTGGGCCCATATTTTGAGCGAACGCGACAATTTAATCGCGGACTTTTCCATCCATTAGAGGATATATGTTCGCTAAATCCTATTTCCATATATTCAAGTGCTCATTGGACTATCACATCTCTCGGAGATTTTTTTGTTAATCATTGTTTATCGTCTGTTAGACAACAGTCCCAGTCAGCATTCGTTCGGAATGTTTCGGACGAAGATCCACGTCCCATGATCACGCCTTCGGCCACCCGGGTAAGACCTCAAACTTGAAAAAAAAAACCCATGCATGATGCATCGTGACACGCAAGTAGATGACGTTACCTCTGAATGAAATCCAACACTGACAGGTCCGAAGTTCGTTCGTTCAATTGAATGTGTGACAACGCGGCTTTAATCGCGCACTGGCTGCTGGAAGAACGTTCTAAGAATCCGCCGCCGGGCCACATGATGCAATAATGACGAAGCACTCGGATCTCGATCGACGTTCTTCCCTTTTTGTGTTCATTTCCACTTAGACCCATTTACTTGATGACATCCTATGCTACTTAGTCTCTGGGCTCACTAGCCTGTGATTTGTACTAGTGGGCTGGGCTTGCCTAGGTGAGGCCCTGCACGAACGTATACGTACGACTCATCGGAAAGATACCCGACATCCCGAGCCTGCATGCGTTCTGTCCAACTCAGATGTCTCCCCCACGTTCCCTCTAACGCTTACAAGCAGAATCATTGCATGATGGTTACGAGTCTATCTTTCTTTCCCCACTTTCTCTCACACTCAAATCCAAACTCTGACAGAAACTAAACGTGCCGCAAAGCCAAGGTCACCGAAAGAAGTAATTCCTGAAACTTGCAAAGATTGTGATTCTGTGCGACACGAGAAGCTTTCGAATTCGTGCGTATCATGGTGACATGCCATTGCGGCCGTAGCACCGTGTTAAACACGCATTGCCGCCGGATGAGGTCAAATCCGGCCCAGCGGATAAATTTACAGTGTGAATGGATTGATAAGTAGCTCACAACAAGGTTAATAACATTATCCGCTGCTTACGACGACTACAAGTAATATAGAATAGGGCTGTACAGTGTACGCAAGGCTTCGATGCTTACGATAGATAATGATATGCTTCGTCAAAATCGGGATCATTGAACGCACCACCAGGCGCAAATGGATCTTGCTCGTCTGGTACCCACTCCCCATATCCAGTCTGGTTCTCAACCATGTCGTCTTCAATAATTTGGTACCCTTCGTTCTCTTCACCGGTATCCGCGGAGGATACCTCAAGGTGGATGTCGATGTTACATACACGTGGCGCACCGCTCTGCTCGCGTTCCCTCTGCACAAACTCGAGGAGGTTTTTTGTTGGTTCTTCAATACAGAATATTTCGATGGACTCGAGGGCACGGCAAGGTATGGTGCGCGTACTGACGTCCGCAAAAGGAGTCTGGATGGGTAACAGAGCTAGCAGCGCACTTGGGGTACGAGATAGCGACAGATGACGGAGTTTCGGAATGACAGCCATCAAGAGACTGAAGGGAGTCAAGCATGCAGCGACACCGTTGAGCGACAATCGCTCCAGGTGTGGGAACGGCGTCTTGACGGAATCGTTGGACGTGGCTAAGTAGGAGGTGCACACTCCATGATTCAAGCCAGCTTCCGTAGAGATGTCGCACAAATCAAGAAAGCCAGTTGCGAGATAAGTCAGGAGAGGGCCAGAGTCCTCGATATCAGGACTGGCGATGTGATTGGCATCTTCGATGGAAATCGAGATGAGGTTAGGGGCATGGATGTGACTGAGAAGCATGGCAGCATCTTCGACATTGGTATACCCCAAATGGATATCTTCAAGCAGGGGAAGCGAAACCGGACGATCGCTGCGTTGCACCCCTGCATCAAACTTCGGTCCAGAAACCCTGATCACGAGTTTTCGCAAGAGAGGACAAGCCTTGAGAATCCCTGTAAACTCATCAACTGTCGGCCTGACTTCACGGCAATGTTGAGAAAGCTCCAACGACTGAATGCAGCTGGAAACATATGAAAGCGGCTCGTTGAGGGCTACACCAAGAGTATAACGAGAGAGATGTGTCCAGTTTAGGTGAACGCCGACAAGAGTTAGGTTTCGCAGCTTCGGAAGGGGGTGAGATTGTACAGAGAGATCATGGTGTGGCGCGCCCGTCAAAGCAGCGAATGGTATCCCGTCGAACACATGTTGTGTGCGTGGAGAGAAGACATCCGAGTGACCCAAGAACTCGTTGCATCGCATGAGTATCAGAGTTTCAAGGTGCGGAGCACCCAAGCCCTTTATCAAAGTAGGCACACTGAGACGTTCAAGAGCGACACGAAGAGGTGCCCACGTGTCGCTGAGGATCGTCAGCGAACGCCACCTATACATCTGCGGGAACAGGAGGTCGAGAATTTGGGGGATGAAAGTGGCATATTGGAAGAACGTCGCATTGTGAGGTGAGCATTCTTCCCTGAGAGCGCGAAGACGTTGGGACCGATGCGAGCTTCAAACAAAGCATGACTTACTCTTCTTCAAAGTCCCATTCTGGATCTCGAGTGTCGATGAGAATGTCCACTGGGGAGTTTCGTGACCGCGCGATATGAGCGGCCAGGCGCTGCACATCGAGGAAAGTGGTATATGCGTCCGCATCTGATCCAACTTTACAACGAACAACCTGCTCAAGACTCATTGAGAGGCTTGACCACAAAGTCGAGGTGGATAGTGCAATATGTCTCCAGTGGCGATGTACAGAAGCGAGCACAGTTGGCATTGTGACACTTTCAGGACTGAAAGGGACCTCATATCTTCCTTTGTGATCAATATCGGTGGATGCGGTGTGATGGGTGGCCAGCGTGAATATGTACGATAGTATCTCAACTGGGAGGACGTTGATATGACATGGACGGTGAATCTGGTAGTTCATGATGGTTTGAGAGCAGAAGAGGATCGCAGTCAAGTTGAACGTTCATGCCATACTTATTACGCCTACTTAAGCAAGGCTGTAATTCTGCGATACAGCGATGCCACTCCCTTTGTTTCAGCTGTCATCAGAGACAAAAGAGAAGGGAATTTAATTGTCATGAGAGCGTGCCGTACTAACGACATCACGCAACAGTACTGTAATTGTTTCGGTCGGATCCGACGGAAAGCGAATTACTTCCGTGCTGGTCGTAGATGGCAGTGTTAGTGAGGGCCACTGACAGTCCTTTCAAAAGACTTATTCAAATACTACTTGCGTAGCTACGATGAACGTTTTGTTAAAGTGGACTCTAACAAAAGCATATCCGACAAGCTGAGCTCGCTTACATGCCGTCAAACTTCGCTTCTACCATTACTCCTTCTCTCTGAGTCATTCGTCTGTATTTGCGAAAGCTGTTCATTTTGTATAGCTTCTGACATCATCAACATCGATGATGCGTGCACCTCGCAGACATGGTGACTACTCCGAAGGTGGAACATAATTCGAGAGGCTAGGACGCTGTGAATGACAAGTTGTAGCCTTAATGACCGATCAGTGAGTTCATAGTCAGCAGTGGCAGTGGCAGTTCAACCGGTGACATACGTATCAAACATGTTTGTATAGCCAATCTACAGCCGAGAAACAACAGATAAGTCGCCGAATGGCTGGGGTTTAATATATAATAGACGAGCACACGCACCGGAAATACTGCGTCAATAATCACATTGGTGACTGTGATGGCTTTGTGAAACGAATTTATACAACAATAACGTCGAAATACAATGATTTTACGCACCGATTATGCACAACATGTAAAATATGCTGCCGCCATAAACGGTGTCTATGATGGAGCTTTCGATTTTCCGGTAGTCGCTGAATTTCTTATACGCAGTAAGGGCCAGTAGCACTGTCAGGTTAGGTCAGATGGTCAATGGTACGCTCTACACAGTAACTAACCACATTCGAAGAGTGCCAAGACAGCATATACCAAAGCAGCATTTCTTGACGAGTAGAAGTCTTGCCCGGGTATCGTAGACACAGCTGATATAGCTATATTAAAACGACACGTGTTGGTAATACGAATGAACTCACCTGCTGATATCAACTGATGATTGGGAAGGACGTTTATAGAAATAGCGGCGATTACTGTCACCTATTGCAAAGTTAAAGGTGTATGTTCCAGTCCTGCGGAACACGTACAACACTATAAGTTACCAATCCAATGAGCACTCTCTTGCTCTTTCGCCAGAAAGCCCATGTTCGAACGACCAACAAGCCTGTCAAAGAAGTATGATCTCCCCCGCTCTTTGTATGGGGTGATAAGAGCAACTCGCACCCTCCGCAGCCACGATACTTATAATATGAATAACTGAAGATCGCGTTGTTAGGTCGAGTGACAATGAAGCACTAAACGACGATTTACTGTTTTCTGCCAGACTGGGGGCCGGCTTTGTGTCATGGGATCAGCTTATCGTTAGAAGCCATTTCTCAATTGTGCATGCTTACCGGGCCGCTGACACGCAGAGCAGCTACGACAGCCGTCAATAAGACGCAAAAGATATATCGATAAGGATAGATGAATCACCATATGCAGTCAATCCAGAGCCTATGAAAGGCAGATATCGGGATATGGTGAAGATGACACGAATTATATCCCATGGCCTGGTCCAGGTCCACTTTACCTATAGACAGTGATGAGAACAGCAGCCACGGACATATTATTTTAATCTTGACCTCATCTTGGAACGTGATACAGAAATCGAATATCTGAGACGCCGAAAAGAGTCATTGATAACAACGAATGGCTTGATGCTTACAAGAATTGCAAAAGCACCGACTGACGATACAACGTAGTTAGTCGCCGTCTCCTTCACGGAGAATCAAAGGATACTTACTATTAGCAAACTAAGTAAAGAATCAAGTCAGTGACCTCGAAGCTGCGATCTTCACACACCTTGGATATCTGCAGATCCGCAATCTCCGAAAATAAAATAGAAGACATTTTAGAAATAAAAATAAAACGTTGCACTTCCCTTCTATTAGACCTGCTTGTAGGTCATAGAGGGACTAACGTCGCCACAGACCCCACTTAAGTACTGTTGTCGACACACGTATGATCGAGCTTCTCACCCAGTTCTGGAGAATCCGAGTCGTGATCATCATGAAATGCAGCGCCTTTAGATCAATCTAGCACAGCGCTTGAGAGGGCAAAAATAGAAACTCATTTGGCATGCCTTACGATATGGTGATCGTGATGTCGAGAGAGATGTTTGTTTGCTGGCACTGCAGTCCAGTCCAACGAATATTGTTGATATTTACTACGCCGTAGGGCAGTGACAAGTTTTGTCATTCGCTTTTCAGGCCAGGAGATAATCACCTGTGTTCACAGCACTACCTTGGGGTACGCTGTGCTACAGTTGCAACTGTTGTTGTGATATTCCAAACTCGAGTTTCACCCTGCTAAAAATACATCTTGTTTGTTCTTGACCACAATATTGTTGTCTGGACTCTGCATCAGCGCCTTGGACTTCACATGATCATATAACCTACTCGGTTCCTGGTGCACTGAAGACTGATTTATAGTGCGTTCCAGCGCCGCGGTCCTATTTCAGATTTCCGCTTTCTGGATTCTGAGACGACACAAAAATCTGCCACTAACACATATATTACAATGTGAGTCTGCAATACGACGCGCAAAGATCCTGACTACCCCAGAGATGGCATCATGGGCGCGCAGCAGGAATTCATTCTCGAATTTGCATTGATGACCATTTTGAAGCAGACTGGCAGAGGCACAGTGATGTTGACTAGAATGTCTATTCATCACCTGTTCGAAGTCAGCTCGGTTGGGCTCGCAGTGCAAGAAACCATCAGTGGGAAAATGGATGCTGGGAACCATCTTGATGGTTGGGACCCATTATACCGGGCTTCCATCCCACTGGAACCACGAGAATCATGATGAAGGAGATTCTGATTATGATGAGAAAGAGCTTGTGATCCACTTTCCGGAACAGTCCTAGATAACGATGACCTTAGCGCGGGCTAAATTTCAGTGATAGTGACAATATCAAGCAACACACAAGTCAGGACCTCAGAAGCAAAGAAAGGTGATACTGACCGCGTTTTGAGATGATGCTCGCGGCTACGCAGTCACTCGTTTTGAAGAAAGAAATATGGTGAGGATTCAGACTACATGATATTATTATTTGATATGAAAGATTGTTTAGAAGACAGTCGAAAGACTTGCCAGTCGCGGCAGTGGCACATGCCAGTAATGGTGCACGTGCCGGGTCAGCCGGCCGGAATGTCTCGGAACAAGGATTCCAGCTCAGCCAGCGCTCCGGTTCTTTCCTTGTAATGATTCGGCCTGTACTGTCGAGTTCGTGTACTTCGCTTGCACTTCGACTTCTCGAGACCCGTCCACCTCTCTCCTTATCTTAATTGCCTTTTTAATTCTCAATTCACGCGCCGTAGTTTCCCAGAGCCTTCATCATATTAGCAGAACCCTTCATTTCGTTGGACAGCTACTTGATAAGTCATTGCCATGTTCGAAATTCGTGCGCAGGTATCCTGCCCTCCCGAGTGGCTCCATCTGCTCGCTTACCACCCCGAGCTAACGCTCGGCCAAGCTCAACATGCCAGGGACCCTAGAGCTAGACGAAGCTAGACCTTCGATCCTACAACGCTCAAACCTCAGACAGTGTGTCCTTCGTTACTCATTTCTCCCTCGTCCTCTTTCCCAACTGGGCTCCTGCCATGGCGCCCGACGTACGCAATCTTGAGGCCGACATGTTTGCGCCGTGATTGAATCTGTTGGGTTGGGAGCTGAACGGCTCTACCTCCAATTTGGAGGGCGACGTCCTCTTCGCAATGACATTAAAATAGATCATCGCGTAATCCAAGAGAATGGCAAAGAACGTGTTTGTTCAACTTTGTTGTGATTACAGCCTCATGGGTGTTTTCCTTGACCCCTTCATCAGCAGATCGATGCTGCTAAGCGCCTTCTTGCTTCGATCGTGAAATATTCATTGGTCATGATCTTTTTGACCGGGACTGTACATCAAATCACTGCAGATGCTCTGCACAATGATCCACAATCAGTGCCGACACTTTCTCCGACATCAAGATGGTGCAAAGATGAACCAAAACCCATGGCAACCTTACGACATGCAGTATAATTGACACGGTGCTTAGAATGTGTGTGAAGGCATACATAGAGTAGCTTTTCCAGAAGTTCCACTTGATGAGACTTTCTAAGTTGTAAACCATGCAAAGCATTATATAATTACTTCAGGCTTGCAAAGAAGGGTCAACATGAACCCAATAGACTCTGAACGTCTGAGAGAGGGACAAAGACTCGGATAATAAATCAGATTCGGCAGGTTCAATACAGTTTTGATTATCACTAACCCGTATAGTGGAGCGGCAGATATGAAACGACATTAATATTAATGAAGATACTGCAGTTACCGTGACTAGCTAGGTTACTAAACGATGTTCAAAGTACGCTCTGAAAGGATTCTGAAACGGTTTACTAAACTACTAGGGTCATTTTAGTAAACGTCGATTGAAAACACCCGATGTCGTCGACAAAGTCGGGGACCCGCTCGCTCGAATGATCACCTAAACAATATTACATCCCCGGGCCGCAGTGCGCAGTATGCGGGGTACTTACACTAGTGTGTGGTGCGGCATGGTCACCATGGTTTAGCCTGCATGTATCAACGTGTGCTGAAAATAATAATCACTGCGATTGGAAATGAAGTTAATTATGACCGTGGCCGTCATGTCAAACGTACCAGTAATGTACTTGCGGAGATAATTCAATTGGGTGGCTTGACGGCCACGTTGACAACTTGAACTCTTTGCTTCACCACCGTCCTCGACAACATCGTCAAGAGTGTAATCCAAATCTATCAGAATTCGATTTTATATTGAAGGTGTTCGGGGTCCTAATCACACACCAGACCAAAATTGGTGCGGCACTGCATAGCTGCGAAGGCTACAACACGAGCTACATCAAGCTTGTCTTTCCACTTGTCGTTCTTTCCCTGATTTCTACCTTGCCGTGCTGGTTCTCGGCCCCTAGGCCCTTTCACAATACCCCTGGTCACTAATTCACCATTTCAATGTCTTTGTTCAAGCGGCATCCGCCACCGTCAGACATCGACGAGAATGATACCATAGACCCACAACTCCGTCTCCGCACAGTGCACACAGCGGCTTCCACTATCGCAGAATCCATCCGTTCAGAAATTAGAGCGCAAAAGAGGCGGACCCAGAAGAGATTTTTATTTTCTCGCAAGAATGCAAAGAAACCAAAGATTTCAGAACCAGGCCCATCAACGTCCCAAGTACCCGAGGCCTCCTCAGCCCCGCAAACGCGGATTCCAGGCGCCCGGAGGAACATATACGTTAATCAACCGCTCTCTGCCATGGAGACTGACCATCATGGCGAACCGCTCGCCCGGTATGCACGGAACAAAGTTCGCACAAGCAGTATGTTTCATATTCACATTTCAGTCCCGATTTGAGTATAACGTTGCTCATAGGGTATACACTCGTGACCTTTCTGCCGAAGAACTTGTTTGAACAATTTCACCGGTACGTGTCACTGTCGATGAGACAGTAGCCCCATTGATTGCCCCTAGAATCGCCAATATTTACTTTTTAGCGCTCGTGATTTTTCAACGTGAGTACAGCTCATATGAATAACCGGAGCAGTGCCTTGTGGAGCAACAATTGCTGATGAAACTTGCGCAGTTTTCTCCGTCTTCGGTGCCGCATCGCCGCAGACTGCCGCTCTTCCGTTGTTGTTCATCTTAGTCGTGACAGCAGTCAAGGACGCTGTCGAGGATTATAGACGAGCCCGACTCGATGAGGAAGTGAACACTTCAGCAGTAACGCGACTCGGGCAATGGCGCAACGTAAATCTGGCTCTTGATCCCCGACCATGGTACCAACGACTGCTCCATATACATGCTCCTGGAAAAATCACTCGTGGAGTGCAGAAATTACGGGAGAAGGAAGCAGGCGAAGGAAAGCAGGTCATCTTGAGCAAGGGCGGTGAAGACAGGGTCAGCATGAGTACCACAGACATGAACGATAGTATTACCTTGGGCGGATCTCACCCTCCTACAGGGGCAGGTGGCCGGCAACTGGAGGACATTGAAGGCAGTGTGGGCAGCGTGGACTTACATACCTATCCTCCGGGGCTCTCCGAAAACGAGCTTGGAGGATGGGGCCAGCACAGTATGTCCCTATCAAACTATGTGCAGTCATCTCCTTCACGGTCATATGTGGGCGTGGTAGATTGGAGCAGGCGCACGAATGGGACAGCCCGTTGGGAGAGGACGTTGTGGAAGAAGCTGGAGGTCGGCGACATCGTGCTTCTACGGGAAGATGAGCAGGTCCCTGCTGATATCGTCGTATTATCGACATCGGATGCAAGCGGACTGTGTTATCTCGAAACCAAGAACCTTGACGGCGAAACGAACCTCAAGGTACGGAAGGCAATCCAGGCTACGGCGTCCCTTAGCTCAGAAGAAGACATCGAAAAATCCTCGTTTGTCCTTGATTCAGAACCTCCGCACCAGAACTTGTATGTATACAATGGGGTCCTGCGATATACAGACGCTACCACGGGCGAACCTCGTAAAGAGGGTGTCACTATCAATGAGCTGCTCCTTCGTGGCTGCACCGTCCGCAACACCGCATGGATCATCGGACTGGTCGTCTTCACCGGCCCGGACACCAAGATATACTTGAACGGTGGACAGACACCATCCAAGCAATCGAAAATCGCGAAGGAGACAAACTTTAATGTCATAATGAACTTCCTATTCTTGGTCATCATCTGTTCGGTGTCAGCAACCATCAACGGTGTCATGGATGGGCTAACGGCCACAAGCACGTATATATATGAGCAAGGTGTCGAACCCACCAGTTCCAATGCACTCAATGCACTCGTTACTTTCGTGTATGTCTTTATAACATCATCTGAACGCTCGCTAACACTCTTTCAGGTCATGTCTCATCGCCTTTCAGAACATCGTCCCAATCTCCCTGTTCATCTCTATTGAGATCGTCAAGACCATCCAAGCCTACTTCATCGCTCAAGATTTGGATATGTACTACAAGCCTTTCAACACCGCCTGTGTCCCAAAGAACTGGGGTATTTCTGATGATCTCGGCCAAATCGAATATATATTCTCCGACAAGACTGGAACGCTGACACAAAACGTGATGGAGTTCCAAAAATGCTCGGTGCACGGAGTCGTATACGGAGAGGGCGTTACAGAAGCGCAGCGCGGGGCTGCAACGAGGGAAGGCCAGGCTGACGCAGTAGCACCAGAAGAGCTGGCAGAAAAGCTTGCTGCGCTCAAGGATACCATGGTTACCAAGCTGACAAAGCTATTCAAGAACCGCTATATGCAGGTCAACAAACTCACGCTCGTTTCGCCGAAGCTTGCAGAGGACCTCGCAGACCGCTCGTCGGAACAATATTCTCATATCGTCGCGTTTTTCCGTGCCTTGGCTGTGTGTCACTCGGTCTTGGCAGATAAGCCTGAGCCACAGGAGCGCCCTTATCACTTGGAGTATAAGGCTGAGTCTCCGGATGAGGCTGCCTTGGTTGCTGCTGCGCGGGATGTTGGTTTTCCTTTTGTGGGCAAGCAGAGGGACACGATTGACATTGAAGTGCTTGGCCAACCTGAACGGTTCACACATATGAAGACGCTCGAGTTCTCTAGCGCACGTAAGCGCATGAGCGTCATCGTTCGTGCATCAGATGGACGCCTCATCTTATACTGCAAAGGAGCGGACAGTGTCATATACGAACGGCTTGCCGAGAATGTGGACCCTGCTTTGAAGGAGAAGACGACCAAGGACATGGACTTTTTCGCTAATGGTGGTTTGCGCACGCTCTGCATTGGTTATAGAGTGCTCGAGGAGGATGAGTTCTTGAGGTGGGTGCGGACGTATGAAGATGCTCAGTCGGCTATCGACAACCGCGACGAGGCCATCGAAAACGCGGCTGCTGAGGTGGAACACTCGTTGCAGATACTGGGCGCTACGGCTCTTGAGGACAAGCTACAAGAAGGAGTGCCGGAAGCTATTGAAATGCTCCATCGCGCCGGAATCAAGCTTTGGATTCTCACAGGCGACAAACTCCAGACAGCGATCGAGATTGGTGAGTGGGGTTTCCCATGTCGTTACAACTGGATTTCATCGTTCCCTAGGTTTCAGCTGTAACCTCCTGAAGCAGGATATGGAAGTTATGATCCTGTCTGCTGATACCCCCGAAGGCACTCTTGCTCAGATAGAAGCGGGCCTCAACAAGATTGCGTCGATATTGGGCCCGCCTACCTCGAAAACACTGGAACGTGGGTTTGTCGTTGGCGCCAAGGTTTCCTTTGCGGTCGTTATCGATGGTGACACCCTACGTCATGCCCTGACGCCGGATATCAAGCCTTTGTTCCTGAACCTTGGTACCCAGTGCGAAACAGTCGTATGCTGTCGTGTCTCCCCTGCTCAGAAGGCATTGACCGTGAAACTGGTGAGTATACCATCACTTCCTAAGGTATTTTACTGACCTCGAGTTTGGTGTCAAGGTCAAGGAGGGTCGGAAGGCGATGACGTTGTCCATAGGAGATGGTGCTAATGACGTCGCAATGATTCAAGAAGCCAATGTTGGTTGTGGTCTACTTGGACACGAAGGTTCACAAGCTGCTATGTCTGCCGATTATGCCTTTGGTCAATTCAGGTTTTTGACGAAGTTGCTGCTCGTCCATGGGAGGTGGTCTTACCAGCGTATTGCTGATATGCATAGTAATTTCTTCTACAAGGTGTGTTAAGCGATTTTATTTGATTGTACCTGCCGTTAATTGTCGCTTCAGAACGTTATCTGGACGTTGGCCATGTTTTGGTTTATGCCATTTTGCTAGTGAGTTTCTGTTCTTGGTTTATATGCACTAGCTGACAACACTTTTGAAAGCTTCGATGCAACCTATCTATATGATTACAGCTTTATTTTGTTTTACAACCTCATCTTTACCTCACTGCCTGTCATCGTGCTCGGATGTGAGCATTTGTTCATTATTCACTGGGTCTCGCTCAACTGTTTTCTTTAGCATTCGATCAAGATATTAATGCAAAAGCTGCCCTTGCTTTCCCTCAGCTCTATGTTCGTGGCATCAGAGGCTTGGAGTACACGCGGACAAAGTTCTGGTTCTACATGCTCGATGGTCTATACCAATCTGCGGTCGTCTTCTTCATTCCCTACTTGGTCTGGCAGCTTGGACTGGCTGTGGCGTCCAACGGCAGAGGGATTGATTCTTTAGCTGACTTCGGGACAACTGTTGCGGTTGCTGCTATTTTTGCGGCGAATACATATGTCGGGATGAACACTCACTAGTGAGTACGCTTTTTCGTGTTGGTTTGATGACGCTAAATGTTGCTTATTTTAGCTGGACCTCCATCACCTGGATAGTCATCGTCGGATCATCCCTTGTCATGATGCTTTGGATCGTTATCTACTCGTTCCTTCCAGTGAACACCTTCTTTTCTAACACGGATGGATTTATAGACGAGGTAGAGATTCTCTTCTCCAATGTCACGTTTTGGACGACAGTTGTTTTCTCCGTTTTGGTGGCACTGGGTGAGTCGAAATGGTATTTTTGGAGACCCATCCTAACTGATAATCGATTAGCGCCTCGGTTCCTCACCAAGTTCTTCAAGTCGACGTATATGCCCTTGGATAAAGACATTATTCGCGAGATGTGGGTTATAGGGGATCTCAAAGATCGTCTAGGGATCCGCCATCGCAAGGAATCAAAAAACAAACATGTTGTTGACCTTGAGACTGCACCCATGTTTCGCGAACCTCACGCTCGTTCAGCATCGGAATTAGCTCTGCAGCAAAGTTACGAGCCGACATCTTCAAGATCCCCCGCAGGTTCCGATAGGAAGAGTCCTGACGATAATGGCGCAGAAGCTATCGAGCTGGTCCCCCAGGCCTCTCTACCGAATCCCTACAACACGGAAGATAGTGTCTCACCCAGTCCCTCTTACTACTCGCCATCTGACATCCCTGCACCCTCGCCCATACCACCCTCGTTATACAAGTATCCATCAGGAGAAATAAGCAGCCAAACATTTGCCGGGCCGTCGCGCTCACATTCCCTGAGCCCTGAGCCTCCCGTTCCTAGATTAACTTATCCACGCCCCTCGCGTGATTGGTCCCAATCCCCTTCGCGTCTGCAGACCCCTCCACACCCTCATTCCTTGGCACCTGGACGGCAACCCCTCGTTCAACTTCAACCAGAGGGACTTCATGATCACGACGCTGGCGAAGGCCGGTATCGACCAGAAGAATCTGATCAAGAAGATCAGGCAGACAACTCACTGGCGTGGGACGAGCCGAGGGTTCTCTGAGGTCTTGCTGGATGTCGATGTATCATAGGAGTGACGTTGTGAAACTGTTGTACTCACCCTTGCTTTCGTTCTGACCTGTCTACATCTTATTGCAACACTCTTGTGCATTTCGCATTTACATGGACTCGTAGTCGATACCGAGATGGCCATCCCTATCTATTGTCCTACACCTTTTTTCGATGTCAAGCTAAAAACTTTTAACATTGATTTTTTAATGGACTTGTTAAGGCCAGGTGTTCAGGACCAACTCATGATGATAGATTTCAGGACGCTGGAGATTTTGTAGTTTTGAAAAAGAACAGGAATCTCACATAATATCAATGGCACAGCTATTCTTCTAGGCATCTGTATTGGATCATATGGTTTCTTGCAGCGATGGCCTCGATTCCCTGGCCCTAGCACGCAGTGCAGTCTCTCTTGAATGCTAAATGACCTCGAATCTGATTAGTAACCTAGGCTCATTTTGGCTGTTGTCCAGCTTTGTCGGGCATGATCTGTTGCAAGTCAACGTGAGGCAGTCATTAACTTGTATTCAGCCGCCGCAATGATGAAGATTCTTGAATTCTTCATGCATACGAATTCCTTCCCGCACACCGGTACCGCAGCAAGGCATGTCTATAACAAAATTTACACTTGAAGGCCCTTCACGACGCGGAAAATTCAAAATGCGCGGACCGTATCCGTCATTGTAGTACCCGTAAGTCGTTGAAATCAATGCTTCATCATATTATTTTGGGCACGAACTGAAACATGTTGTTCTGATAGAACCGAGTAATGTGACCGACATCTGTTCAGATGCCGCTCGGAGTAAGATACCAGCTAGGTAAAAGGCAGTGTACGCAGCGTATATGATCTGCAGCACTCTGCAATAATTTTAATGCACCTATCTATATGGCAATTCCCGAACAGACGGAGCCACCAGGCGGAATTCCTCGCGAGGGAAAAGACCAGTTCAAGATAGAAAAAGTCGCAGTCATTATCGAAGTACTAGTAGTCAGGATCATCATCGGCCTCTGGCATTGCATCTGGTCGCAGACAGGACAACAGAGGAGAACTTGGTCAAAACTGTGTCCCGTAGCCTTGATTCGTCAACGACATCGATGGAGGACAAGATTTTTCGAGAGCTGTGAGCGATGCGAAAGGTAGCATGGCGTAAATGGTGAGGCATGCTGCTGCTCATTCCCACAGTGCTACCCAGTAGCAAAAGGACGTCATCACCTGCTGCCCGAAACATCATCGGGGTAGTCCATGAACCAGTCAAAGTCTTCTGGCCAATGGCATTTGCCTTTCCACCGGAATTGACATCGTCACAACAGGCAGGGTCCCAGGATACATATATCATCGGTAACGGCAAACCTCAAGCGGCGTTCCTTTCGCAGAGCAAAGCTGTGTTAGAACCAAGTTAGAACATTGAGGTAGAATCCATCTGCAGGCTGTGCTGTGGCGAAGATACCTCGAAGATCAATCGATCTGCCACGTTGCAGATATCACGCATCGATCTTATGCGGCGCTCAAACATTGAGCGCGAGTCACTGCATTACATAGTTTTATCAACAACTGCTACTTTGATCTCATCGATATCATAACCCTGGATACACATTCCCTTTCTACTTGAATTCGTGCTGAAATTCAACCCTCAAATCACTTCATCGATGTACTAAATGGATGGTGGTATATCAAGCACGAATGCAATCCTTATACATCCATCAAATTCCCCCACTCGCTCACTCCCATCCTCTAATAGTATGACACTAGTCTCGAACGATCCCGGTTGGTGGCCAACCATCGATGCGAATATTATCTTCAGCTATTTCATAGGTCTGTGGAGAGCCGGCTGTACAATGGCGTGATGACTCGATTAACCTTGGCTGTGGTTTTGCAGTTACTGCCTATGCTGCGGTAATATACGATTGGGGTGAGCAATATCAAGTATGAAAAGACCACTGACATTATGTGATTTCTAGGACTTACATTCGGACAAGAAGTAGGTTGACACTATTACAGGAGCAGTGATCTCGCTGACAATAGTTTTATAGGTGGAACTGGTCTGGGTGAGTGGACTCCCACATAAAAAGAACAATGTGAAAATACTACAAGTAATTCGTGGCAGATGCAACGCTGGTCCCTTATGACCGTTCTGTATCTCGTTGTATGCAACTTGTGTTTTTAAGCGTGGTTAGAAAATTGCCCTAACGTGAATATGTCCTAGGCACGATACGTTACAATAGGATCTGTTGCGTACGTTTTGACGTTTTAAGTCACTGACATTGTACTCATTGCCAATTTCTCAAAATCAGGATCACCATGTTGAGTATGTCTCCTCGCATAGACTCTGTTTCTTTGGTGTGACAGGCCGCATACAGTCAGTGTTCCAACAATTTGGACGACAGACGCAGTGAGTATTCCATACCCATGCCTTCCATTCCCGTCGAAACAACTGAACTAACATACAGGGGTGAGTGAGATTCTTGAACAATTTGTTGGTTCAATATAACGACTCCCATAGTTGTAGGTTGTTGCGACTCGAGCCTGTGATCCTCCAAAGCTGATGAATAATGCTGCTGGAATTTTTAGGCTTTATTATGTACAACGCACTTAATTGGAAGACTGGCGTTGTAGATGTAATACTGGGCGGTGAGCATTACACCTTCGTGATATTGACTTGACTGAAACACCATGCAAGCCATCATGATCGCTCGGTTGTATGCCATGTATCAGCGATCCAGAAAGGTGCTGATATTTCTCGTTGTCATCTTTCTGGCCTTCAGAATCGCCGACGTAGTGATGGCCGCAATACAGATAACGGAGACTTCAGGGGGTAGGCTTTCATCATGTATGAAATGTTCAAGTGCATCTGGCTCATTGACGCATACCAGAAGAATATCTTCTCTCCGGCATCTATATGTGCGAGATTCACTATACGAGCGATGTCATACTCTTGGCTTCCGTGAGTTGGATACTTGGTGTTATATGGGAGGTCCTTGCACTGTGTCTCGCAGTCTGGATTGCTGTAAAGCACTTCCGTGAACTGCGAAGACACTCAACAAGAGGTATTATTGGGGACCGTTTCACGGTGTTAATGGAAACTCACCTTAGTTACTTTGCGAGGTGAGCTCATAATTTGAATGCAGTTGTCTTTTTTCGCCCACGTTCTGCACATGCTAGCTTTTTTGCTGTTGCTTGCTTCCACATCGGTTTGTTATCTCCAACGTTCTCCAAGTTGACGGTATGCCCATTTGTCACTGGCCTCCACGTGCGCCCATGATTCATCGATTCTATAGGCCCTGAACATTCAAATTTATATTGGTTTTATTCAAATCTTCGAGATGGTGCAATTGTCTGTACTGGGACCACGCCTAATCCTTAGTGTTCGAGAATATCATGCAAAACTCGTGGCCGACTCCGATACAGCAACCGCTATGACTTCAATTGCTTTCCAGGAACGCGACCATGTGGAAACTAGTAGCAGCGTATAGTACAGAAGATACTCGATATGATTTACAATCAGTGGATAGTCTGTAGGGAACGATTTTAGTTTTTATTTATTTCAAGTTTTGTCGTGGTAGTTGTTATATGTAAGTCATTTGATGTTACAAATATATCTGCAACTTGCAAGAGACATAGCTTTGGACAATGTTTCTACTGTCGCTAGCTGCACCATGTGGCCAGGCAGCCAGCTAAAATGTTTAACAACTTTGCTTGAAAACAGTCGTCCCCTTTCAGTGTCAATATGCTTATTCCTGACATACCAATTTATTAACACAAGCAAGCTAAACGTGAGACAAACATTATACCCAAACTAAGTCTGTGAGTGGCCATCATGCAGTGAACTTGTGAAGACCATATATCACACAAAGGTTTTGTCATCGCTCAAACTAAAAGTCGAAGGGAAGATGGAACGAAAGCTACTGGTTGATCAAAAACCATCTTCCATCACTCGTAGTGACGTAAATGCAAGGTCGCGTTGTTGCACCTTCGTTCTCTCCACGAAGAAGTTTCCGCTGGATGATTCGTCCGTCAGGAATTCTTGAAACGTTGCACTAAGGGGTCGGATGTGGGTATATGAGTCGGTGGTGCCGCTGGGGAGGGATCATGTCCTCTGGGTGTGCCTTGGTTGACGCAGCGACTGGGATTTTCAGCTGTGGTGGGATGCTTGTCATCGGTGAAAGGATGTGGATGTGATGTGTCCTGGGCGCCTGATAAGAAACCTGAACAGGGTTTGGAGCACCTACCTCGATATTCTGATTCGGTGAAGCATCTTGAAGTTCTACATTCTGGGTCGCAGGAATGCGGTTGCTTGAAGCGTTTCTGTATAATGTCAGCCATATTCAGATTCAGGAAACCCAGCAGTCTACTTACAGGAAGTTTCTAGAATGGTCTGCTTGACGCGACTACGAGGTTCAACAGCTCTGGACAAAGAAAGCATCAGAAGCAGCGATAAATTTCATAAACGCTCATCCAGTGAGTAAGCCCTTGAGAATACATGCCGAGCTTTCACGAACGGTTGCCTCGCAGGTTTCCGGAGGAGAATCTGGCCTATGGTCTTCACCCATCACGAGTGGTAGCTTACTGTAAGCGACTCGGATGTGGGGGTGCAAGTAGTATTTGAAAGTCGAAAATCCAAAAACGAACCTTTGAGTGGCCTCTGAGGCTCATGGCGCTCATAACTCGAGCCTGATTTAGTTAGTGCCTGGGAACGCTCATTTTTAGCCTTCGGCCCTTCGCTGACTGCTTAGATACACAGGCTCTTGTCACCTTTCGTCTGGGCATGAATGGTGCGCGAGAGAAATTGCAATGGGCGTCGACGCGTGTCACGACGTCGTAGGATGACCCTGCATACCCATTGTTTGGCATCTTCCGCGTCCACCGTGTACCTGTCATCTACGGCGAGACTAGATAAAATCAGAAAGTGCGGGATTTGGCCAGTCTGCGTAATGTCTATTGTGACAGACAAGTCACAGACCCGTGTTAATACTTCACACAAGACCGGCCATTTCCTACCTACATGTCCTCGACAAAATGCGCTCGGTCGGGTGACATTGCTGCCCTAGACTGGGTCGGAAAATCCTCCGAGTTTTAAAGTCGTCTCCGAGTCGCAAAACAACAGTGTGGCGGTGGAGGCTGCCTTAAATCGTATATCCTTCCTGACAACCTCAGCGTTCCTCGTTCCTCATTTCGCGAACTCCCGACTGCAACTGCCTTGCATCACGTTTCCTGTCACAAGCTTGGCCAAGGACGAGAATTATGTTTCATTTATCATGTCAAGACAAATGGGCTGAAACACACGTTGATTGCCACAGAAGAAAAGCTAGTTCAATTCAAGTTCTCGCCGACAAGCCTGTGAGACGCCTATTCGACAGACATTCTTGCTCGTCTGTCCGTGGCACCGTTATGACCTCGGACTGCCTAACTTTGCAGAAGATGCGCACAGTGCGGTCGAGTCTGAGGAGAAAATGTACCTGTAGTGAACATTCAAAGTTGACTTGATCGGTCGCCTGGGGCGGCCCTGTGGCGCTATCACTAACGCACTAGTAGCGTGCCGATTCGGAGAGCACTAGAACATTGCGTCAGATGACAATACCATAACACAATTCAGGGACATGGCCACTATCGATGACATGATGGACTCATCAGGACCGTCACGGTAGAGCTGCCGTTTCAAAAAACGGGGATATCTCGTTCAACCCTTGGCAGTACCTGCATGGAACAATTTATCTAGCCATATGTCACGGTGTGGTTTCGCACCACTCAAATTGGATATGATCATCCCTGTCACCCTCGCCATGTCGACTACTATCAGAAGAAACAAACAGCAAAGCCCCTTGAAGAGCCCATTGCGTTCCCAAGCTCGATTTACCCACGTCCTGCCTGTTTACCCTTCGTCAATACAGAGTCATACGAGCTGCGAGTGCGGTGTCCTTTGCCCCCCTCGTATTATTGGACTCAGACCCAATTCCCCAAAAATCCTCTGCATCCGTATCCATGTCCTGACTAGAAGTGCGGAAGCGCCTTTTGGGCGGTTTAATGTCTGAACTAGTGAAAGTCGTCGGGGTGTCAGTTAAGAAACGTAGGTTGCCAGTGAGATCGACGGTTGTAATATGCATAATTCTGATCTATCCCAGGGTCAAAAAGGCACGATTTGGAACACAGGGTCAACGCATGACCGCAGGATAATGAAGGTAACTGGTAAAATTTGTGGAAGCCTATCGCAATTCACTGAAGGCAAAGAGACTAAACCCCCTGCTTACTACGATAGCGGATAGAACGGTCGAAAATGACGAACGACCTTTTCTAAGGTCATTTAAGACATCTTGAAAGCCTATTTGCATCGAATGCGTTGCTGTTCACCGGAACACCGCACAGAAACCGTCGGAAGGTTGAAAACAAAGGCGATTTAGCATGTTTCTGTCGCTCGATCGAGCAAAAATGAGTAAAAGTGGAAGGTGGCCACAAGGGCTAGCGAGATTCTCAGATCTCGGTGACGGAGTAATCTAGCACCACCACATGGGAAACACTAATCCACAAAACCCAGCGTATGCATGGTGCGGTATGCAGTGTTGATAGGGCTGGTGCGGGTTTCACGGGAAGATTACTGCGGGAGGAACTTCTGACCGAGACCCTGGGCTAATTAGGGTGCAGAAAAGAAGTAAATCATGGAGGAAAAAATGATAAGTCTATATCCAGCAGATTTGATTCTGATCCGAGTCGTGATCCACTGTATCTGCCTCCACTCACATAGTGGGAGGTTGACAATGAGCTCAGCTCCTATTGGTTGTCGAAACATCCGAGCCATTACTGGTTTACACAGCAAGGTAACGCCCAACTCTTGGCGAACAAGAACAATGGCACGAAGTATGCTCGATAATCAGTTTCACGCATTGTAACGTCCGATCTGCAGGAACTTTACTCACCGTTTCTTAGCAGTGTAAAATAGTAATGGCGACCGCGCCAGTAAAATCCAACTTGACATGAGCCGCAATCCTCCAGTGATAAATATTGAGTATGTTGGTAACCTGTAATGGTATAAGTATAACATCGTATGATTCTGCTTTGGGTAGCCTCTGCAATGTTACTATGAAGGCAATTAATGTACGGACATCAATGATCAGAGCAAACACATACTAAGGTGAAGACTCAGAGCCTCTGATCGGTGATACATTGGAACAGCAACATCTTGGCATAGCTACCGCAGGCGGTGTCAGAACAATGAGTCTTCGTACTTCAATTTGTTGACTCGGTCCTCGGATGGCCGCCAAAAAGCCATGTGAACGTGGTCTCATCATATGCTGGCAATGGGCTGATATGAATGAATAAAAAGTCTTCCGAATGACCTCCACATTAGTTGGTGACTAGGCCGGATTGGTGAACCGGTGAGTTCTTGGGAGAGACAGCTGTCTTCTGATGGCAAACGTGCGCTCCATTTACAGTAACATATTTTTCTGCCTGTCAGAGACTGTCTCACCGCAACAGAGTCTAGCACTTAAAGCCGGGAGTTTTCAGCCTACGGTGTGAGCGTGTGTGCATGAAATGATGACAGTATCGACTCGGAGAGTCGGAGCTATGGACTTGCATCTTTCCGGAGATGGGAAATAGATACCATATATATCCACCCTGCGCCACGCGAAAAAAAAATTATTTGTAGCGGGAGCTTCAAGTTGGGCTCAGTTCCAGTCACTGACCTTGTAACAACACTCACTTCAGATTAATAGCGCAAGTCGTGCCTTGAATTCACTGACTTTCACATCATCATTTGGCAACACATCGATAGATGTTATATTATGTAGCCCAATTCAAGAACTTTTCAGGTTCCGCAAAGTGGTTCATCGAATTCGCAGGCCATGTGCATCCTTTATGATGGGGTTGGTGGTCCCGGGCAAGTACGCATAACTGGTGTTATACAATTATATTACTTATGACAGCATGACCTCGCCCTGAGCGCGCAGGAAAGAGTAACCCTGAGCGCTGAGCGCTGACTCAACGTCAAGTTGAATTTGGACTGCGGCGAATTTCCTTTATTATAATCGTTCAGATAAGATATCTGATGGTTATCTCACCCGTTCATTTTGCTAAAACGCTTCGGTTCCGTAGATCGTTTTCCGGGATAGGCTGAGATCAGATCAAATCCCGATATCCTCTATTTGATAATCCTAGAGTTAGGAAACTTCCCCGAGGTCCAACAGCCATCATGTTCTGAACCGTGAACAAGGCGAATACCCCGGTGATGTAATCCTGAGAATTGATCCCTACAGCATACCTGAGGGTCGGTTATGCAAAGTCGCACCACTATGGTTCTCATATTTAATCTACTCGCCTCTCTCCTTCTGCCTCAACCCATTTCCCTCCCTTGCCACTTAGGATGTCTTCTGATTTCTCCGAAGCTGACATAATTGCACTCGTGCATGAAAATGATACTTACCCTGAACAAGTGTGGTATACTATCGCCGCGTTTCTCTTCGTAGTTGGCTGCTTCCAGTGGGGCTCACGCATTCACTCCAAATTCGCCAGGCGCAGACACCATGAGTCTGACGAAGAAATTGCTGCCACCAATGACATTCAATACAGATTCTCTCTCCGCCGTATTCCGCTCGCGATCGTAAATGTCTATCGTGTTGTTGCTTTCCGGTGGACCCTAGAAATAGGGAAATCTTATACCCTCAATATGGCAGAAGTTTTTGTCACTGTGGCATACATCGCCCTTCTGTTGATCTATGCCTTCGTTAACAGTGAGCTCACGAAATCGCGTGTCCCATTTACATCGCATTAACTAAATCACGCAGCTACCTCAGTCGAGGGTCAAAAGCTTGATATCATCTACTGGAGCAACCGCATAGCCATGCTGGCGTCCAGTCAATTTCCCATTATCACCGCTCTTGGCACAAAGAACAATCTCGTGTCTCGTAGGTGGAAAAGTTGCGAATCAGATGTATCGCTGAGTTTTTTTTCTCCAGTGGTCACGGGCATCAGCTACGATAGGGTACGGCCCTTAATTATTCTCGACACGGCACTTTAATTAATCATGGATATAAAGCTCAATTATGTTCATCGAATGATGGCGAGGACATGCTTCATGCTCCTTTGGGTACATGCAGCGGGCGAAATAGTATGCTCTCCCTCGTACGTACCTTCGATCTATGCTTGCGCTTTTCTAATGGAGTTTACCGAAAGCTTCCAGGAGACTTTGAGCGAGCCATGGCTTCGTGCCGGTATCACTGCCATGGTTGCCTTCTCTATTCTGATCCTAGTATCACTGCGTCCCGTTCGTAATGATATCTATGAGGTCTTCTTTTACGTCCACTTCCTTGGCGTCCTGTTGGTGTAGCACTTCTACTCGCTTGTAATTGTCGTTAACACAGAGCACAGGATATTTCTGGTGGGAGGGTATTACCACACCAAGGGTGCTTAGTAAGTGCAAGTTAATACAGACAGCTTGGTTTCTGACTTGCAGCGAACAGCGGGTCGTACTGGATATGGCCCTCGTTTGTATTCTGGGCTCTCGACCGCTTCATCCGAGTGGTTCGACTTGTTGTATTCAATCACTCTTACTTTGGGTTCAAGTCGGGATCTGGGACGATGGATGCAACGACAGAAATGCTTTCCGCAGATGTCGTTCGATTGCGTTTACGCCGGCCCCCGCATTTCCATTGGTCCCCAGGACAAACAGCATATCTAATCATGCCCTCGGTTTCGACACTTCCATTCGAAGCGCACCCCTTTACTATTGCGAGTTTCGATTCTAGTCTGCTTTCAACCCCGAAAACGGAGGATCAATCTGGAAGCGGTGAAAATGACGAAACCCAGGTTTTGGGATCAAGCGCTCCGTTCTGGAAAGAGCTCGTGTTTTTGGTCAACGTACATGGAGGGTTCACGAAAAAGCTAAAGGAGGTAGCTGCCACGAAGGGCATAGTTAAGGTTTTTGTAGATGGTCCTTACGGACCGTCTCCTGACCTGGGTTCTTACGACACGTGCGTATTTGTGGCAGGTGAGTTGTGTGTCGTCTCGTAATTACGCAGTACTTATCAAATTCAGGAGGGTCTGGTATATCATATACCCTTCCGGTCTTCCTGAGCGTTATTGAGTACGCGATTAATCTCACTGTTGTCATTGATGAGTCTCATTGTTCTCGCAGGAGCGTACGCAAGGGGAAAAGCTCCTGCAAACGAGTTGTGTTCATTTGGTCAATACGCGGAGCTGGTGCGTAGATTCATGACTCATCTATAGCTTCTACTAACGTCATATTTTATAGGCTATGTTGAATGGATCGAAGAAGCACTTATCAAGGCTGTTCAGCTTGCCCCGCCTTCTTTAACAGTATCCATCCGTATCTTTGACACTGGTTCTTTATCAAAGGCACAATCTATGGAAGAGAATTATAGCCCTTCAACTCCAACAGAGAAGAACGGTATTCCTGAACAAGTTGTGACAAGGAAAACTTCCTTAACGTCGTCAATGTTATTATCGCTACGCGGGGTCAAAATGGAAAGTGGACGATCGGATCTGGATGGACTGCTCAAAGAAGAAGTCAGCATGGCCTCGGGGAGTATGTCGGTCAGCGGTAAGTACTAATTCCACCGGCCTCCAATGATGTGCAACTTATGGGTATTACATTAGTTTGCGGGTCTCAGAATATATCGCGCGCAGTCCGTCATGCACTTCGCTTCCCTGTCTCTGGGCCTTCCAGTATTCTCAGTGGAGGACCGAGCGTGACCCTATATGTCGAATCGTTCGGATACGCCTGATGGTCTCCTGAGCCACCTGGTTCACTTTTATGTATGACCTTTTTTGTTTTCTTTGTCACCTGGGTTTCTTGCGATTTGATACTGTAGCTAGTACGGTTTACGTTGCCACGGAAGTCCGATAGATGTTTGTACTCGATGGGACCATTTTTTAGTATACCCCAAGTATGCTTGTAAATTTGTCGCAAGTGTTATGTACTTTTATGAAGTTCGTGCTCGTTGTGGACAACAGTGAGCTCAAGTTTCGACCTGGACGCGTTTTCGTAGTCTTTCCACAATACCATTTAAGGTATCATCAAATAACCTTAATTTCGGCCATGATGGCTGCTCCGAGTCAGAGCAAGTATGTGTGTGTGTGACATATGAAGACTACACAGGCATACTGCAACTCTTCCGCCGGTGCCTCATCCAAGCGCCCCAGGGCATTTCCCCGTCAGAATTTTAATTGTCAAAATATATATTATTTGTTAACATTGGATCATCTCAGCTGCGGAAAAAAGTTGAGCGGCTCGCCCTGGCTGTAGAATAACCAATACACATGTTGCGCAGTCCGCAAATACCCATAGAGCGGAATTAAACTTCTGGCATCACACGCTTGATCCGATCAGCGCTGAATGTCTGAGCGCCATGACCGATACAACTGGGAGCCCCGCCCATTATATTCGAGCGCCTCAGACATCACGGAAAGAAGTTGGGAAGCAGCACTAAATTTCTCCAGGCACAAAGATGCGCAGGGTGATTGATACTCGAGGTAGGCTTGACATTAACCAATACGTACGACGATTGACGACCAATCTGATATGGCATCCTGCGATTACAATGGATCATCTAGGAGGAGATTAAATGCTACTTGTCACTGTCAGCATTTTGATCACATGAAAGAGTCAATTACTTACAGAACTAGACTCTCCCTCGGGGCCGATTTGTACTCAACGCCACATGCTGGTAAAGCACTTGAAAGAGCGCAACAGCATATAATTGTTCAAAGGCTCTATAGTGCTGATTTCATAAATGCATGAGCTAGTAATCTTTGAATCCGTAAGCTGCTGTATTTTTTCCGCACGGCATTGATATTAAGGACCCTCATTTGCCAGTGCTCCGATAAGGCGCCGAGTAGTAAGCAAGTCTATGACTCACATTGCCTCTTCATATAGCAAACAGAGCGTAGCGCCAGGTACTGGCTGGCGCCCGCTTCAGTATCACGAGTACGTGATAAACCTTACGAAAGGAATTAGTGATGTCGTGGGAGCTCCAAACTCGGGTATCTCATACAAAGTTACTCGTTTCCTCTCTGTCGACATGCATTGAAGTGATAACACAATTCCCCAGCATGTTTGGCATACAGTCAGCGCCCATGCTGGATCTCGGATAAAGGTTTCGTAATTTCCATGGGGAGAGATCTTGTGTTCGAAGCTGTAGTTGTCTCGGTGATAAGTATCCACGCCGTGCCGAGTACAAGGGTCGACAATCTCATCTTGGCATCTTATGCATCAGGCGATGATGTAGTTTGAGGTAGTCCAGGAACTGCAGATGGCCTGGTGGAGGGAAATTGCCAAGGCACAGGCCAACCTTGTTCAATAGTTTTCAACTTTTTTTGGCAAGCTCAAAAGAGGGCCTCCCCACAAATTGGCACATCATGCGAGTGCTAGTAGCTTCCAGGATATCTAATACTTCGCCTCCGGGTCGAGAGAGAAACGTGATAAATAGTACTAGTAGCAGAATTGCTCGTTTCTGAGAACTTTAAGTCTGACTCACCCTCCTGCAGCTTATTCATAGCGTTTCGATCGAATACTCTTTCCTCCAGTCATAGAGGCGAAAAGCCTCGCTTCCACACCTTTGGGCATATATTATATGATATAACATATGCATAATCCAGAAGAATAAGAGTGAGAGCGGAAGATTGATAATGGTACAGGAAAATGACATAGAAGAGAAGACGCACAGAAGGTCATTCTAAGACATCAGCGTCATGAATCTGATAGTGCTTCTCAGTGATTGCGCCATTGCGCCACCATCAGAAGGAAAGCACTAATCAACCAGGGGGCGATAAGATGGATATCCGCATTACTAAATTCTGATGTCTAGAGCAACTCTACGACTTTCGAGTGTAGCTCTGGACATATATTGGCTCGAAAAACACCTTGCTCCCTTGTAAATATGATGGCGAATGTCCTCATTGAAACCCGTCGGGGTTCTTCACGTCACAGTAAAGTATGTTACCCGACAGTTCACTTGACTCGAGAGAAAAAATGTAAATTCAGCTGTGAATAGTGAAGTGGTGGTCACGAAGAAGTAAAAATGAAAATCATCTCCACGCTGACACAAACTAGTACCGAAATAGGTTATCGGCAAAAGCCCGATGCTACTCACCACGCTTGTAGCCGAAGTTATGGTCATTTGTCCACGGTACGTGCATGGTTATACTCTCTCTGGTCCAAGATGACATGTCAGCAGCTACCCAATTGATACAGCAACAGATTCATACCTTGCTATTGGCACTAGCGCGAAAGATACGGGGTGCATGGGAAAGGAAGGACATAGCGACCGACTTGGACGAGCGAAGCCCAAGCCAGAGCGTCCAGCAGAGTGTCGTGAGGCAGACCACGTTCTTAGCACCTACTGCAGTCACCCGTCCCCTAGGATAAGAATGTCTGTTAGCTAGGGCAAGAGGAACGGTAGGATGGCAGGGATGGCAGCGGTTTCGAGCCTGCGAAAGTTCTCATCGAGGGGCTACCACTACCCCGATTGCGCCGGCATTCTCGTTCTGTTTAGGATAATACCACTGAGCCTATATACCTAGTGGGAGTATAGGTTCCGTCGCACGATTGCAACCACGTCCGATGACCGCTCAGCTGTGTCCGGCAACAGTGACCCACCGGCAGGGTAGTTTACGGTTGGGGGAGGGGGCATGGAAAACTTCAGATCGCAAGTCTCGTGGCCTTGAGCACGTCGAGACCTTAAATTCATTCGCCAAGAACCCTGTTTCAGTCGTTTCCGAGCCGAAAAGATATTTAGACGTCTCCGTGCAGAGACAATGGTCGAACGAGAATTGGGCGTGGTCTGACGCAGTTCGGGTGATTGGCGCATGTTGCATATGGAATGCAAGACTTTGAGTCTCACGGACCCGATAACCGTTGACATCAGACAACTCGAAGGGCAACATGAGTTTGGACAGTTGGTTTATGAGAAGGAAGTCAGTGATACTCACCACACAACGCAACGACGTTCAAAACGCACGGTCATCGCCAATGTAAAAATCCACTGACCGTCTATCGCTCTGTCTCACAAGGGTTGGAACTTCTCGTTGATGGAACCATTACATATTCCACCCCACAAGAAGTACCAATCATCAAGTACAGCGTATGCGTGGTGCGATTTGAACCTGATATCTTCCGCAGACCAATGCCTTAGAGCCCTGAAGATGCGAGTAGACTGAAAAGAGAAAACAAAATTTGCCTACAAGGTATTAAATGTCTACCATGGGGCGAGCACGATTCCTCCGTACTGCAGAACAAAGATAAGAATGAGAGCGGAATCGTGGCATCGGGCATAGAATACGAGCAGACGTACGGCCATGTAACTTGAAGTAGATGCTTAAGTAGATGCCAGCATGATGGGTGAGAACGTCTCAGTGACTCATGAAGCCATGTATAGCACCACCGCGCGGGAATGTAACAGCGCTGTAGGAATCTTGTAAAGACAACCCGTACTTGTCAATATAGCAAAGTCCAAAAAGTAGATGTCGTATGCCTCAAGATATCGTTCCTAAACAACCTTGCACGATCGATCAACGCATGAAAGCGATGAGCATCGGTAACGCAAAGCACAGACGATCTCAACAATATGAGCATGGTATCTCACTTCAGTTCGATCCATATTTCCGACGCAATGACATTGAAAACAGCCATCGTCGGCGTTGGAGAATGCGCATGCATGAGCGAGATCGAGCCGTAGAGAGAAATCGGCGAGTCTAAGAGGTATCCAAATATGTCTGCATTGTAGAGACGGAAGGGGCCTGTGTATCTTGAGGTGGGGCCTGTTGTGCTTGGGAGGGAGAGATCCGTGGCGGCGTGTTGGGGATTCCGTAGTAGACGTGGGGCGTGATTAGGGAAGGTTCTGGTGAGGGAGAGGGATTCGGGGCCTGTGGGCGTTGAGTGTCGTAGTATCAGTGTTGATAGTGAGTGTGGGACGTACCTTTGGGTTTTGTGTCTGTCCATGTGGAGAAGGTTTCGTCCCAGAAGGCGTCTTGGGTGTCACCTTCGAACTATGCTGCAGGGTTGACTTTGAGAACGAATTATCCTTCGCCTTCGATGTGTTCAGTCAGTTTAGAAACCTCCTTGGTTCTGAATGCTCCAGGTGCAGTAAGCTGTGCCCACTCCATACGACCCGTTCTACGCCACATCGGAAAAGCATGATTTTGACGATGGTTGAAGTTGATGACAAGCTTCATATCCTTATTCGGTCCATAAACAGCTTTGGCTTCTTTTCCGCCAATCGTCGAACACCATCATTCAGTAAAGGTTCTCCAGTGAGTACCCACTGAGCAGCTTCGTTATACTGTTTCCTCAGTCCGTCCTCTTCGTCTATTCACACGCGCAAACTGCCCTCCTCTTATATAATAAGATCAAGCACGAATTTGATGTTGGGATAGATGGACGAGTGGACGCTTGTAGTGGAACCGGGTTCATGAGGGTGTTCTGGGGGCTTTCATCAAGTATGAAGAGTGCCATAATGATGGGGATTCTTGGGAGCGTGTTACGAGGGCGGGTCCTCAGATTCTGTGACAGAAACTGGACTGGGTGTTTTGGAGTTGGATTGTTTGAAGCGAGGGCCGTTAGGAGGAGCAAGATCTAGGAGGATAGTAGGGACCGAATTTTCTTGGTAGTACACAGTCATTTTTGACCGCTATATACTAGGTATGGAAAACAGTGACAGTCTGCACTGTGTCACTGTCACATTATCAAGCTAGTGAATTTCACCGAGACCCCCATTAATTTATGCTAGCAATGTCAACGGTACATGTCCGTTCACTGCGCAGTGCAGAAACGACTCGGAGATTTAACCCCAACATAATCCGAGGGCTGGCAAGGCTGATGTACAATTCTACATAGATCATTTCCTTCCATTCTGGTCTGACTAGGGGAAACCAGTACTATCATACACAGCAGCAAAAGTCAAAAACACATAGCAAGACATAGATAATGATGTAACTTTCTATGCTGGTAGCCATCGCAATGAGAATTATGCAATCCGAGCAAGAAGTGAAAACAGCCTTACATAGAGCAATAGCTGTAGATTTCATAATGATCGCTTGGGAGACAGCTTGACGACTCTGTTCCGCTTGACAATATGCCCATCCTTCCCGAAATAGCGGGCGGACTCGAAGGACCACTGAACCGAACCGGCAATCCAGTCCTGCAGTCCTTGGACGTAGATAGCCACATCCTTGTCAACTTCTTCTCCCCACGAGGGGAGGATAGCACGGTTTTCCTCAAAGTGTTGGACGCAGATATTGCATAGCCGGCCGCAGTAGTCAACAGCGCCTTGCAGGTCGAGACCTTGTTTGGCCATGAGGATATAAACTAAATTACGCGTACTATGGTTGGATTGCTCCATATTATAGGAGAAAATATCCTGTCCGCAGTGATATCAGCAGTGCCCCAACTTCGACGACGGAATGAGGTATTACATTTGACCAAGCAACGAAGTCATTGGTAGCCTCCTCCAGGGCTATGATGACCGGATGCGACATTACTTCGTCGGGAAGATCAATCTGACAGGCGAATTCTATAAAGGCAAAGCAAGGCTTGCAGCCGCTCAAGTCGCGCCTCAATTCGATGTAAGATTCAACATCATAGACATATCCCTTGGCGCGGCTGTCCATCTCCTTTGCCGCAGAGGTGTACCACAACTCCATTCTCTGGATAAAGCGCTCTGTACAGCCAGGGCCGGCAGTCTCCTTAAAACGGCTGAAGAATCTAAAAAGCGCACGATGGTTAAAATGTGTGTGCGACGGTGAAAGATAGACACACGATTTGCACAACTTTGCAATATGATTTTCCGTCTGGAAGTTGACAGGATCACGGAACGCAGATATGCAGCAGTCACGGATCTCCAACACATCATTGACTTCAAACTTATCGAGCTCGAGCCAGTCGTCTATTATGAACGTCCAGCACAGGAAGTCCGCACAGACTCTGAGATGGAAAGCATCTGCATCAGGGTAACAAGATGAAGCGAAGTAAGCTGGGCGCAATAACGTAGAATATTTGAGAGCCTTGGATTCTGGTAGATTGGCTTCGCTACGAGCCCATTGATCAGAAGCATAAGATACTTGATCGTGGTGAGGGTTTAGTCGCATGGGATAGCGGCAATTGCTGAAGAAGTCAGGTAAAATGAACTCTGTGGGCTCGGAGTCAGAACAAGTGACGGTGTGTGTTACGGTAGAAGTCATGGAGGTTGTCGGACTCGTGTCGTGAACGTCGAGATGAGTGAACACTCGGAAAAATCAGAGGCCCGAGTTATGAGACAAGGGCTCTGAAACGTGTCAGCCTTTATACTATGCTGATCTTGCTGGCCTTTGGCTCGGACCATTGTGTGCTTTTGGAAATATATTAGTGAACTGAGGAAGGACATATATCACCTTGTGTAGAGGTAGAGATTAATCACGAGCACCAGTATAATTCTACTGTGAGTTATTACATGGTCATGCATGAGTTTATAAAGCAAAGACGAGTTCCTGATCGACTTACACAGGTTTGCAAACTGCCAAAAACTCATAGAGTTGTGCAACTCAGAATCACATGGTAGACGCGGCAAAAGCTAATGATCTGCCTCAACAATTCATCGCCGCCGCATCGAGACCAATGTCCTCAATTAGTGATGCTCCGGCCTTGCTTGGCATAAAAGCCACGGCCTTGGCCTGGCATCAGATGGCTTTGACCCGGCCCTGGCTTGAACCATGGCTCGAGTAAGGAATTTGTGAGCCTGACAAAGTAAGTATGAGCAGGTCGCCATGCAACCAGGGTTCGACCACGTTACTCACCTGTGCACATTAGAATGCAGTTTTGGCCAGCACATATGTTCCAAATTGAGCTAGTAGAAACCAGAGCGGTAGCAACAGCGAGTCATGTTTCTCCTTTCGCTTTGGTATCGTGGTTGACAGTGGCGCAATACCTAGTTCGGAGTCAATCAGTACGGTTGTTTTTTGATAAATTTTTGTGCTGCTCGCGAAGATGGAACGCACTGCGCAAAATTTCCTCACATTCTTGAATCTGTCCGCCTAACGTTGGCTCTGGAGGCTAGCTCATGTGAGAATGAACATCAACTTCTCAACTCTGTCTCTGCGCAGGATCACTGAAGGTTCAAACCATCGAGCGATAATGGAGATATATGACTCATGAGATACCGGGGGTTCGAGCGAACGTTCTGTGGCGATGAAGAAGAAAATTGACCGTGCCTGCTGGCAATGGTCAATTGAATGCATCACGTGTGCCCCTGCTGCTATCCAGCAATAACATCCTGCCAAATCGATCACAATTGCGTCAAATTTCAACGGAGTCCCAAAACCGTCACTAGACCCCGTCAGGGCAACCACATGATCGCTTTGACTGTACCCGTTGGCTTGAGTGGTGTCGGCCTCTGCGACAGAGTTCCCTAATCCGACTGAATACTGAGTATAATGACGACTAAAAGGTGTGTGAGCCGACCCTAGGCTAGCTATATTTGGTTCCCAGAAAGGACCTCAAAGGTTGGCTTCTGGATTTTGGGTAGTACTGCCAAGTACTACTAGTAACTGTGTACATCAAAAAGGCCAGTTTGGCAGAGTTAGACGGGCGTTAATTTTAGTCTGATACGTATTTGCTCTAACTAATGTACGATTTATGTAATTGATCTCACAGGTCTGTAACGTGAAAAATTTCGCCAGGTCGAATTTGAGTTCGGAAAAGATACTTCGTACTCACGTCGGGTTATATCTGGAAAATCGATCTTAGGGTAGAATTATTCTCTTGTTCCGCAGTGAAGCAAGCTGGAGCCAATCATCACGTGCACGCTTCAAAAGGGTCGATCCTCACGACTACCTCCACAGATACGTCACATTACCAGCTCCCGCAGTCAGACCATTGCTTATGTAGATAGTTCACCGGTAATGTTGCTTCAATGCAACTGCACGCTCAGATGTTGCCCAACTGGGTGCTGTTGGACAACATCTGATATTGGGGGTACCGCATGGATGTGCAGCGGACTGATAGCCATTTGGCTGTGGTAGTGGTGTTGTCTTTCTCCTGCGCTGGAAGGGGTGAAATGGATAGCAGGACTGTCCAGGATATGTGGTCAGCACGTGTATTGTGTTGTTCAAACTAGGCAATGCAAACCTAGAGAATGCTAGTGAAGATCAACCCTACAATATACTCGAACCGCAATGCTACCACCTGTGAAGATCTTTTGGATTCTGAAGAAGGCCTTCCCAGGTGATCACACCACAAGTCCGATCAGATTAGGGGTACCGGAGGGAGAGTGAAGGTTTGAAGTATGAGTTTGAAAGAGAGTGACGCTAGCAAGAATCTCTAGGAAGCACCTCGCATGTGATGATGCCGTGATTCCGCTGAACTCCCAATTTTGGGCCTGCGACATGTGCAAGTCCAAATGGTCTGATGAGCCCCAGAGAATCTTTAATAAATAAGTCTCCTGCGCTGGGAGGGTAAAATACGTGGTCACTGGTCAGTGCCGTAACGTATCATAGAACCAAGACGCAAACCTAGAGAGCTAGTGAAGAGAAATCTTCGATCTACTCAAAACGCAGCACGGCCACCTGCGAAGATCTATTAGACGAGTTTCAGCTGCTGTTCACAGGTGACGACTCCGATGAATGCCCGATATCAAGTGCTGCCAAAATGAACTTCACCATCAGTGCACCAATATCAGGGGCATCGCCGCATAGGTTTATGAGGTGGTCATTGCATATATTGACACGCACATTCCACGCATGGTTATACTCTATCTGGTCCAAGATGACATGTCAGCAGCTACCCAATTGATGCAGCAACAGACCTATACCTTGCTCTTGGCACCAGCGCTGAAGATACGGGGTGTATGAGAAAGGAAGGACACAAGAACTGGGTGTGGTCTGACGCGGTTCGGGTGGTTGGCGCATGTCGCTTAATGGGATGTAAAATTTTGAGCCTTGCGGACCTGATAACCGTTGACACCGATTGCCACATGAGTTGGGACATGAGAAAGAAACCAGTGCTGCTCACCACACAACACAACGACGTCCAAAATGTACAGTCATCGCGTCTATCACTGTATCTCACAAGGATTGCAACTTCTCGATGACGGAACCATTTCATACCACCATACGGGAAGGACCAATCATCAAGCACAGCGTATGCGTGGGTGCGATAAAACATGCCTCTTAATTGGACCTGATGTCCTCCACAGACCCATGCCTTGGAGCCCTGGAGATGTGAGTTAGACTGAAACCGAGAAAACGAGATTTACCTACTAGACGGTATTGAATGTCTGCCATGGGGCAAGCACGATCGTTTCATACTGCAGAACAACAATCAGAATGAGACTAATCGTGGCGTTGAGAACGCAAATTGGTATAGAAGAGGAGTAGACGGTCGTCGGTCCATGGATGTGATTATAGCTTTGAGTAGATGCTTAAGTACGCAACTTGCGTGGAGTTGTACTATATGGATGGGCGATGGATGAGCTGATTGGGTAAGTTAGTGCTGCGTCGGCCGGGGTACAGACTCAATTACAGGGCAGGTGTTCATACAAGACACTAGCAGACACATAACTTGTAAGTACTCGCAAGCACCTCCGGCATCTGTCAAATTTCAAACTCCTCGCTTTGCCTGCCAAATTTCTCCGAGATTGACTCACTACGTCAAACACGAAGTCCAGACTGGTACAGTCAGAGCATCAGGAAAACCACTGGTTGCTTTTCTCACTTATTTTACTTAATTTTTCGTGAAGGCAACTTAATACACTTTTGCAAAAGTGAATTAAGGGCGCGCTCACGCTCACAAGTCTATACCACGAAAAAAGCAAAAAAAGCAAAAAAAGTAGTATTGAGCACAATAAGTAATGCATGGTAGTATTAGCCTAAGAGTCATATATTCGAAGATGGATGCGGAGGGGAACGTCAAAGTAACGTGTATTAGGATCTGAACAAGGTAAGGCACGAACCTAGGTCCTAGAGAGTGATAGTGAATGTGATCCGTTCTTGTTCGAAACGCAATGCCGCTACCTGATCAAGCCCTCTCAAGACATCAAAAGCGCAAAGATCAGGGAGTGATGCTGCGACTCTGATTTCAGACACTGTTGAAGGGAAAGGAATAGAAACATTTGACGCTTCTGCGAGAATGTCAACAACGAAGCAAAGATACAAATTTAGAGTGAAGTTTTGAGAAACGACCTTGCGATGTGTTCGAAACGCAACTTCACCACCTGGTATTTTTTCTCCCGTTTGTCGAGAAAAAATGACATCAGGTGATGGCGCTGCAAAGAAAAATGATATTGATGTTTCTGGGAGAACATTAAAATCAACGACGGGCATCAAACTAAGATACGATGCGAACCTGGAGAGATAAGCTTTGAAGAGCAAAACTCGAAGGACACTGGTTCCAACTGCAATGATCTCATCAAGCGAGCTTGAAAGGTAATGAGTCTAATGACGTTGTGATCTTGATTAACTTTGCTCGATATCATAGCAGGCACTGCCCAAAGCCATAATGAGCATTGGATTCCGACATGGAGTACAGCGCTGAAGGAGTGAAGTTTGGAATTGGGTGTGTTTAGAACGATCTGTAGCACCTCTAGAACAGCTGCGATTATATATGTGGTCGGGACATTCTTCGTTTGAAGGTGAAAACTTTTCTTTAAGATGAAAGTATTCGCGACGATAACAAATCAGATCAGTTGGTATCGTATGTATGCGAACAAATGCCTTTGTGACAGGTTATTGAATGTGAATCGAGAACAATGGGCGGATCCCTTTGTTTGCGAGGTAGCGCTGGTGGGGACTGCAGGTGGGCTGTATCGGACAGAAATCATCTAGGCACGTAACGGTGAAACCTTAACCGACCGGAGCAAGCGAGTGGGCCTGGACCGGCTCACAAAGGGCATCTCGGTCGAAGTTGAATGGATGTTGTAAGGGATTCCTGTGTGGCAAAGAAGCTATGCTGATTAGGTCGACAGCACTAGCTCAGTACTGCTGACAGTAGTACGGTGTGAGGAATGGTTGTTAACTAAAAGCAGTGAACTCCGAGTCGCGTCGGTTGAAGCGGACCTTATTGATACCGTAAATAGACAAGTGCCTTGAACTACGGCGCCGCTCGCAGCGCCTCCATCAGGCATAGGAAAATAATTGAGCGACAAATTGCGACGACAACACAAGTTGACAACAACTGTCATCTTCAACGACGAGCAAGATGGAAGGAGCGA